TATGATGGTGTTTGTCAGTTAATAGCCAGCTACTACATACAGTAAGACACTGCTCCGCATACAAGTTTTATCACCAGATGGAGAAGAAAAAAATAAATCTGTTACTGCCTATACTGCTGCTAGGTAAAAACATTGCTTTTGACTCCAGCAGCTGCAGATTTAAAGGCAGCCACAATGACATTAAGGATAACAGCTATTCAGCCACACAGGAACACGTTTTCATGAATAAGGTGCCCAGAATTTGTTCTAGTGTATCGTTTTCCCTATGCTTATTTCAAATACTTTCCTTTTTTCCTCCTTTTTGACAGCGGTGACTTACAGTAGCTAAATAAGGGACATGTTTTGCATAATGAGAAGGCAAAAGAGATTAACTCTAGGTTGTCTTTGCCTGCTGAAATATTTTGCCAAGTCCCATTTCAAGGAGTTTTTAAATCTTCTTAACGTTATGACTTTGAAGGAATACTTTCCTGTTGCATAAGCTGAAAATGCTTCTGATAATTGCAAAGGAAGGTTTAAGAACAGCGTTCAGGTCATGACCACTCCCAGATATATCTTCAGATGAGTATGAGTTGGAAATTTAACTTGTAGTTTTCCATGAGTTACATTGCCAACTGTCAGTGACTTGAAAGGATTTAGGATCCAGTTAAAGCAAATAGCTCTGATACTGCTTTAAAGAATTTCTCAGTGACTGTTTGCAACTTACCGTATTTCTTACATTACTTCTGGATAGGAAATGAAATGCTGGAAGTGATATATTTTTTATAAGTTTTTTAAAAAGCTGTTGTTTAAATATTTTCAAGTATGTATATACTCAAAAATCTGAATAGATTATTTTTTTTTTGTGAATATTGCAGAAATATCAAATCTCATGTTTTAGAAGGAAATGATTCTTCTGGAGTCTTCCTGCTATCTTCCTGCTAAGTTTGAGCAGAGAAGCCTCATTTCTGCATCAAAGTCCGTTCAGGTAAGTGGCTGTGATTGTGTTGGTGTCCAGTATATTGTCATATTCTGCAACATTTTGGTATGTGGCATTGCAAGATGAGACCTTAAAAAACTCTCCATCATACCTATCCTGAGTTGCACTCTCTTGTTAGAAATATAATTAAAAAGTAAGTGGAAGGAACAAACCACATCAAGATTCCAGAGGAATGAAGAGACAGCTGCTTTCTGTGCTATTTTCTCTATTTGACAAAAATAAAGCGACCCCATTCCTACAGTAAATTTTATATAGAATGCTTTTCTCTCTGCTTAGTCATTCTGCCTGTAAGTTTTTGAATAACCAAACGGGATATAAAAAGAAGTAACTCCAGATCACTTACCACACACTATAGTGTTAATATAAAGTATCTTGTTAGATTACCATCTGGTGAAGGTAAGCATTTGTAAAGCACTACATTTGTTTATTCCCAAAGAAATACAGAAAACCTCTCTATATGCTCAGTTTATTAAAAATGGGGGGGGTTCCTAGTTAGCAAGAAAATTGAACAAATAAATTGTTGATATCACGGTGGAGTTGCTCATCTGTACAGTGACAGGAAAACCAGACAAAATAATCCAAACTTTTGACAGATAATGACAAAGAACAACAAATCTGGTAAACATTTTACTATAAAAGGGACAATATGTACAAAAATAGGCTTTTAGAATTTATTTAAAGCTAAAGGGGGGAAGAAACACTAACACCGTTCAGGCAGTTCATGTGATTTATTTAAAGAGGAAGGCAGTAGAAACAGCTATAAGCCATCCAAATTAAAAGTGAAAAAAAAAAAGCCTGGTTTAAAATCATGTTATGAGATGAAGCATCAAAAATGTATAAGAACTGGAGATTCTCCCCTGCCATGTTCCAGCGCGGTGCGGCTGTCGATGGGCGAAGGCGCCAGGCGCTGGGAACCACGGGGACGGGAGCCCGCAAGTGGCTCCCGCACTGCCACCAAGCGGCGGCGGCGGGAGGAGCGCTCGGCACCAGCCGCGGTTTTGAACGAAAAACTACTGAAAAATTCGCATTCTGAGAACTGGTTAAGCACGGGTTTTCTTACTAGTAAAACATTAACCATCACAGACTGCAGTATGGTAATTCTCACTGCAAAAGTATTTTTCCAGTGTTGAAAAACTTCAAGTTACTGGAACAATATAATTACACTGCTAGAAGTATTTAGGACAGTTGCACCTTCCGTGGTAATGGTGTACTGAGGTTTGCAGACAATATGAAGATATCCGGATTTGTTCCACAGATAAGCTGCTTAGAGGCTGCTTCTTTATTCAGTGCTTGCTGGCTCAGACTACCACTTCTGAAGTGCTCATTTGTTCATGTCTCTGTCAAATGTTTAAATTACTTACCAATTATCTTAAATTAAATCATGGTGGTTTAATGGTAGGACATACTCTGTCCTAGGAGAACTGCATTAACCAGTTCGAGCATTATGCTCCACACACTCACTACCAGCTTTACTCTCACAGAAGATAAGGCATAAGTGCATCTTATTTTTACTTCCAAACCAATGCTCTCAGAAATTGGACAATGCAAGATTTCATACTGACATTACATGATTGAAAGCTTTAGGAAATACATATATTCCACTTCCACTCATATGAAAATGGGTGATGGCAACTAAAGGGAAGGCAAGAGATAGTGAAAAAATAACAAAATACAGATACTTTAATGTAACTGTTTAGGGATGGCTTGGGCAATGGTAGACAAAACCAAAATGACCTTTTAAAAAAGTTAATATTTACCCATTTAAGTAGTGGCAATATGAAAGATTCATCTCTTTGGGATGCAAAATTTACCCCTTATTTTGGGAGAGAACACAGGCTATCAAGAGTTTAGGTTGATTTTTGAAAATTCAATTCCTGCAACTTGTTTCAGCTAGGAAGTAGTGTGACACATAGTTGCGAGACATTCTGTAATATTTAAAAGCTGTCAGTTGCAAAAGTATTTTTTAAATATTAATTTTAAAGTGTTAAAAAATATATTTCATAATTAAAATTGTTCCTGATTTTTAAGTTTTTATATAAGCATGCTAAAAATACCTAGAACTGTAACTACACAGCTTCTATTTACTATCAATCTTATGATTAACACTTTTTCTTAATTTTATCGAGAAATAGAGCTTTGTTCCTTCAGCAAAGACCACTATTCCTATACAAGTTTTGCATCCCTTAATACTGATTAGCATGATCTTTGTGCTGTTCTTGCTTTCAGGTTCCATACTAAGCAATACAAGATGAGGAGAGGCACTGCCACAGAACTAAACAGAGTACAGCTGAACACAGTGCCTGCACCACTGGAAACCACGTGTTAGCCTCAGGCCATGAGAGATGTGCTTCAGCACTACAGAGCCTGCCACTAGGTTCACACTGACAGGTATCTTCACCGAGGCAGAGGAAATGGGGCTGCTATTCAAAAGCTAGTCAGCAAAAGTGAAGTGGCATGGGTTGGAATTAAAAAAAGATAAAGTTGTATTGCAGGGCTGTCAAAAATTCATTTCCCTACTGGGAGGGATGAATTAGTGGATTTCACAGTGAGTACCCACAATTTCATTGCTACTTAACATATTAGCAAGGTCATGTTCTGTCCCTACAACAGATAAAAAGACATTGAATTGTATCAACAGCTGAATTGGAATCTGAAGTACTCTTTAAAATTTGCAGATGGCAACAGTGAGCTGAAAATCTACTTCAAGCATTTTGTGATGAATGTTTTAAGAACTAGACAAACACTTTTTTTTTCATACAGAAACCATTTTCCTCATCATTACTTACGTGAAATCTGGTCATTGTGGAGAGTTTGCTTCTGCAATACCTTACATACATTTTGTACTCTTGGAATTGTAGATGCTTGATAAAGTCTTTACCTTTATTATCACATTCCCCTTACATTTGTTGTAAAATTATTTTGAATAAAGGTAACCATTAGCATGTCAGATTGTAGGAAGTATTCTCTAGCTAGCAGTTATCCTTTAGAGATCAATTGTGATCTCAGTTTAAGACACCCAAGTAAATTCCTAATCAAGACAGTGTCCAAACAGACATTGCTAATGGGACTGGGAAATAAAGGACTTAGGCAGGAGGGGGAAAAAAAAGGCAGTTCCCTTCTAGCCAGTGCCATGGTCCCTTGCACCAACAGCCATGGTGGGCTTAATCCAGGGAGCAGGGACATCAGAGAACAGGCACGATCTCCATGAAGCTGCCTCTCCAACAGGCCTTTTATAAGTAATACTGTAAGGCCACATAATTTTGATTTAAAACCGGTGCTTACCAACAATGGTAAGAGTTAGTGAGAACTGGAGCAGTGTGTGCCAGAATGATTCAATGACCGAGCCTGGGAAAGGGCACAGCCTCTTCAGGGTGAGCTAACATGAAAGCTTCGTTAGGCATAAAAACAGGATTTCTAAACAAGCTAACAAGTGTTCAACTGTAGACCAGTTTAAATTTCCATAGAAAATAAAAATAAAACTTGCTGACAGTTTGCCTGCAGGACTTCTGGAGTCAGTTTTCAGTATACACTGAGGTTCTCCAAGTTCTTTGCAGAATAAAAGCAGTGATTCATTCAAGAAGCTCTACTGATTGCATAACATTTCCTATCTAGGATTTAAGGAGGTTGTGTACACTGGCAGAGCCTGAGGATGAATTAAGCCTTTTTTTTGTTTTTAATCTGAGTCTTTTCATAGCTATGTTTAAATGCACTTTCAAAAGTTAATAAATGGACTTTCCCTCTGCATTTTTTTCAATAGCAAAACTCATTTCAGAGTGACACAGTACTATCACACTCAGTGTTGTCAAGCTCACAACCAAACACACCTACCTCTTCTGAACTGTGCACATATGATGCTCATTACTGCAAAACTGCCATGAAGTAGAAATGTATTCAGTTATAACAAAATGCTAGGAAGTGATACCCTGAATTTCAACATCTGAGAAGGGCTGGTTTGGGCTGTTGTTTTGAGTTTGATTTGTGTTTGGCTTTTCTCAAAAGAAGCAGGTACTAGCTTATGCAGTAATAAAGACAGGCATTTGATATTGCTATTTATTTCTCTTGAAAAATTAGACAATTCTCAATGTAATATTCTAGCAACATGCTACTAAGCGCTCTGTACATTCCTTTCTTCAGAATAATTCTAACTAGATCTTGGCAAGGATAAACCAAGTAAGAATTACTTTAATAGTACCAACCAGAATTAAACCAGTGGAGAAATACTCCCCTGAATCTGACATTGCATTTATGTGAAATTGCTGTATTGTCTTAAATAACTGTTGAAATACAAATATTTAATTTCTCTATTAGAAACATTGTATGTATATTTTTTCCTCTTATTCAGAATAATAAAATAAAAATTTCCATGGGCATTAAGGGGAGTTTCAATGAGGGTTCATAAGGCAGGCTTTAAAATAGTGCCTGAACCAGTTCTTCCACAGAGTTCTTCATTAAAATCTACACAGTTTCAATAACTATTTTCGGCAGTGCAAATTATGTGTCCTCCAAAAAGTTTTAATGAAAACCATTTTAATTAAAACTAGTTTGACAGCCTGCATATGCAAAGTCAAACCACAGGATACTAAATACTTTAGGAAATTTGCCTGCATATCTACAAATAAAACTTCCCTCCAACATCCAATGGAGCAGAAACAATTGTGGTAGCAATTAAAAGATTTTAAGTTGTCAGATTCAAGGTCACCAGTTAAATTATTCAGTCATTTTTACTTCTAGCAAAGACGATCTCTTACAGGCATCTATAGTTTTATATGTTGTTTCCTAAATTGTTTAAAAGCACACTCTTATATTCTCTATTTTACAGTGTTGTGCTTTTTTACTTATCCATCTGTACCAGTTTTTAGCTGAAAGTTATTGTTCAATTTGTACAAATCACCCATAATTTAAACTGTATAATTACATTTCATGTAATCTCACAATTTCATTGGGTAATTAAGTGATTCTCTACAACTTTTTTATCAAAAAAAGCAATATACAATTAATAAATCCCTGTAGGATTTTCCCCCCTCACGAGCACTGACACTACATATTTAAATACACTGAACCGAATCCTCGGGCATGTCTGATGAGTTGTGCAGAAATCAGACATGCATGCAAAATGGCTCCAAGCTCACCTGTCACAAAGGGCTGGATCCTAGTCCAGGGCTATATCCTCATCACAGAGAGAGGAAAATAAAGTGTGAATGTCTAAGTTACATCAGCTATACAGACACAGTGGACCTTCATGCAGAAGGAAAGCCCAGTAGTATGCCCTCTTACTTTAATTCTCCAGCATTTACTGTGGTATTTTAGGAGCACATATGGAAACGGTATAGGGAAGTCTATAGCACCAGAGGATTATTCTTAAAATCCTCTCTGGGCAAATTACACTGAATTTAGGGCCAGTTTAGGGGCTGGTATTTTAATTTTCAGTAGCTATACTATTCTAGAGGATCTAGCCCATATCATCATAGTGCAAATGTAACATCTTGTATGGATACCTTCTGGTAACAATCAAACAACATATCTTTAACAAACAGAGGTACAGTTTGTTAGTGAGGGTGTGGTACATGTGGTACACCTTTTTTCACAGCTGAGCCATCCACTTTTCAGAAAACATTTTAAAAATAACATTTCCTTTGATAATATTAAAAGTAGATGATATGACTTTTTCGTTTGTAAATTAATAAAGTACAGTACAAACTGATTTTTCCCAAGTCAATTCAGTTTAAAATGAGCTGAAAAAAGTTACAATGTTTAATGAAAAATTCAGAATAGTACCTAGTTCACATACATTTTTTTGTAATGAGAAAACTTTGTCTGTGACCAAAAAATAACCACACCTTCAAGTGATTTACAGACAGTATTTTAGATGCCACCATCACCTGAAGTTCTGATGTTCTTGCACTGCCAGAACACTGTCCTACTGATGATCAACATTCATCTTCTTCATGTGATGAAGCAGGGCATCTTTTTCCATTTGGACCTCAGCAAGAGCCAGTTTGGCTTTGGCTAGTTCCCGTTTGAGACATTCATTTTCTTCAATAAGCTAAAATGGTCGGTTGAGAAGACAAAGCTATTAGTATTCCTGCATACTGACAACTTTTTCCATTGCAGTAACTTTAAAATACTGTATGCTCACATTCATTCCTGGGCGGAAGCTTGCTGGGACTGAGTCAATTGCAACTGATTCCCAGTTAATGAGTGCAGAACACAGAGAGAGCTGATGCAATTAGCTCAAAAGGCAGGATAGCCAGTGTTTCAGCTATGCCATTTCTATTCTGGAGTGGAGTGGAAACGACCCCAGGTTCTGAGCTCCAGGAACGGATTCTTACGCAGTAGAAAAAACAACCAAATGATGTGTGGATGTGTTCTGTCCTCATCGATTCAAAACCCAGGTATGATTGATAGATTAGTAAGGGTCTGACTAAACAGCCTGGTCCCTTGTGTTTGTACAGAGATGTGTTGTGTTGTACAAGGATGAGGGAGATGGGGAGAAGAAAAAAACTTATAAAACTCCCTCTGATGTAAAGGAAAAGAATCAGTGTGCAGCGTATTACTACCCTATTTAGAAAGCAGTATTAAATTGCTGAGCCATACTATAATATCCGTGATCCGTATTTTCCATCTCAAACAGATTTCTAAACAGAAGTATATCCCACCCCCAGATAACCTAACAATTATGATGATTAAGGATTGTAACATAATTTTGAGGGGGCAGAGGGAAGTAAAAATCAATTCTAAATACCTCATTTTTAAGGAAGTCAGCTGAATCTCTGCTTGATTTAGAAGGTCTGGGAATTTCACAAGTAATCTGTGTGGCTTGGTCCTTTGTTTTACATTCAACAGGTTCCACTGTTTGCTGCAATGCACTACTTGAATTCATCTTTGACACATCACTTATTTTTTGATTATCTGTATCACAGAAATAGTGCATAGGGGTTTTGTCAAAATTTTTTAAAGGTTGGTTCTTATCAGTACAAAATTAAAAGCACCTCAAACAAATATACTTATGATATTAAGTACTTTTATACTAGCATCTCAAAATCAAATTTAAGAATAAAAAAAAAATTAAAACTCATAACCTTTTAGAGAAAAGGAGGGAAGGAGCAATATGTAACTTCCAGCCTGAAGGAAATAAACACATTTTTATACTGACCAATAGCATCACCACAGAATATGCACTCTGAATAATGAGAAGTTTGAGAACCATTAATATTGCTATTAATATACTGTCTACAGGTCTCTCTGAAGACTGCATTTACATTTGAAGACACAGTGAGATAAACCTGCTGGATCAAGTTTTTAAATTAGATAATACCTTTAATTACTTGGCATTAAAGAAGCTTTCTAGCATTTGTAACTGAAGTGCACTATAATATCTGTTAAAATATACTGTTGTACACCAAGAGGAAAAGTGAGAGTCATGGTTCTCAGTAGTCTAAAAAATACTCTGTGACTGTTTTGTTTTTTAAACATTTCCTTCTAAACAAGAGTTTTCTGTTCATTACCCCCTCCTCTCACCAGACACTGAGGACTCAAAAAATGTAGCACTACAGACATGTATTGCTGATGTGCAGATGGCATTTAACCTATGCCTTTGAAGTCACTGTGCCTGAGCAGTCCAAGACATGTATAGGGATCAAAGCACTTCAGCAAAAAGGGAAAAAAATACAAGCTGAAAGAAACCTTAAAACTATTTTCTAACTATATTACTAAACTTTCAATGTTTAGTATAAAAAGATGACCAAAATACATTGTACATCTTTAAGAACTCACACAATGCATTAGATAACGTGCAAAAATTAAAATACAAGCAAATCATGCCACAGCACACCTCTGAGAAGTCTGGTCCATCCCTGATATACCTTCCCATCAGGTGGATGAAGGGGGCATTAAAATCACCCTGCAGCCTCTCAAGTCATCCAATCTCAGCCTTCCTCAAGTCATGCAATACATTGCATATTGCTGGATTAACATATTCGGGACCTGGATGAAAGGGTGGGTGCACTCTGCATTTTGTGAACTCCACCAAACTGAAGGGTAGGTGACTGACACACTGATGGGCAAAGCTGTTCTGCAGAGGAACCTGGACAGGCTGGAGAGATGGACTAACTGGAGCCTCATGAAGTTGAGCTGAAGCTAGTGTGAAGTCCTGCAGTTGAGAGTCAATAACCTCTTGCTCTGCTATAGGTTGGGAACCAACTGAACAGAAAGCAAAATTGCACAAAATGACCTGTAGGCATTGGTCAACAAGCTTTATCATGAGTCAGCAGTGAGCTCTGACAGCAGAAACCAGGGACATTGCAGGCTGTACTAGCAAGGGTATAGATAGCAAGATGAGGGAAGTTATTATTCCCCAATACTCACACCGGTGAGACCACATCTGGAATACTGGATCCAGTTTTGGATTCCCTAGTGTGAGAAAGTATAGATACTGACAGCAGAGGACCACCAAGAGAATTGTGGCCAGGAGCACATGATGTACAAATGAGGGGCCCAGCAACATGCACTCGTGAAATCTGAAGAGAAGACTGTGGAGTGATCTTAATGCCACCTTTGCCTGCCTAGTGAAAGGGTATAGAGAAGATGGACCAGATGTCCCTGAGGTGCTTGGCAAGTGCTCAAGCACCTCTGTCTGAGAGGGTAGACAGGAGGCAATAGACACAAGCTGCAACAAAGGAAATTCCAATTACACAACACCAAAAAAAATAACCATGAGTGGCAAACACTGGGACAGATTACTTATGGTAGGTTGTGGTATCCTTTTTTGATGCTCAAAACTTGCCTGGACAGGGCATTGAGCAACTTGATCTAATCTGCCCCTGCTTTGAGCTAGGAGTAGGACCAGATGACCTCTAGAGGCTCCTTCCAACCTAGATTATGATTCTTTGACATATCTGTGAAAGACAACAGTAAAGTTCCAGCTCTATATGTATTGCCTTGTTGTGAGTATTTAGTATTTGCCCATGCATGTAAAAAAACCCCAATCCTGTAAGCACATACATGCTTCATGAAAAGTAGAATGTTAAATCACTATTCTAAATGCAAATCTCAGTGCAACCTGCTGCCAGGACTGCACTGCGATACACAGAATTGGAAATTGCTACTTGCACTTCTTAAATAGTCTTTTATTTACAAAATAAATATTACACAAGACCACAAAGATGGTAACCATCCTGGTAATCTGTAAAGAAAAGCATTTTTTTTGTTTGGTTTGTACTCAAAGGAACCTTAAAATTACCATGATGAAGTGATATGCACTGATGAAACATTTCCTGATGATGTTGTATGCATATTTTTATTTCTTTCAGGCCGATTCAGCCGTGGGTTATCACAGCCAGTATACTATTCAAAAAGGTAATTTTCCTCTATGTGACAACACTTAGAATTAAGGCATATGGCAACAACAGCTTCCACAAATTATCATCAGTTATCTTTTCATTATTAGCCACATGTACGCACAAAGGAAATAACAGTAAGATTATAAAACTGAGATATCAAGGTGCAGGATTATACAAACCTCTAATGACAAAAGTGCCATCATCATTTCTTTCTATCCAGAGTATGTCAATATGCAGTTTTATGGGTACCACCTCAGATGCCTTGAGATTTTCACGTGGACTATCATCCTAAAAAATACACGTATTTGAAAATGAGTTTACCAGGAAATCAAAATAGCTAATTAGGATGTTCGTTTAAACATAAGTGGATTTAATGAAACTTGAAAGGGAACATTTCAAAGTAGAATTTTCTAACAGGATCTTCACTAAACTTTGCCTCCATTTTTTCCCCCAGGGATAGTATTAAAGGCTCAAATTTATCTGTGGAATAAGTCTGCTGAACTCAATATATAGTCTGACTAAAATACTTCAAAGTGTTTTCACAGGCATCTCAATAAGATTATATCCCAACTCAAGACATTCTTTAGCTCAGGAACCTTCCAAGTCAGAGATAAGAAGCCTGCACTACATAGTATCTGATTTTCCCTTGAACTGTTTTAAGGATTGAATGGGTACAGCTATCATTCTTGAGCAGATTTTGTCTTTTTAGAATTTAGCTTGGGATGCCACCAGCTGCATTTTAGTTAGATTACTGTACTCAACAGAAGAGGAACTTCACAAATTAGTTCTTTGGGGACTCCCCAGGAAGTCTTTATAGTTCATTACCCCTGTCAAGCAGAGTAATGCAGCCAGTATAATCACAAACTATACATATCAGCATTAAACACATACCAACAAAGATATTGAGATATAACTTCCAAAGTTTCTTGAAACAGCATCAAGATTGCAGTAAAAAATGCAAACAAGAAAATAATCTTTCTTAAATTCTTCCCCTGCCATAAAACACACTGCATCGTATCATGCAGAAACAATAGAAGAACACACTACATCAAATAGGCAATGCAGCAAACATTTAAACCATATCCTCTTGCTCCTTATTACCCAACAACTCTATAGAAATGAATCATTTGTATGTCAAATTTGCAGTTTGTCAACCATCATGACTAACTTCACCATGACTTGTGTGCACTGCTGAGCGAGCACTTCAGTGCTTTTGCTGCCAAGGAGACTCTTGCCAGTTTATTAATGTACATTCCCCACCTCAAGCAGCTGCTTTCTCAAGAATGATCTTAGTAGAATCAAGGCCTTAGCCTCAGATGTAGAACTGAAGCTGCTCTTCCAGTCCTCACTCTTTTCAGAGTTTATATGGGTGATTAATGCTTTCCAAAGCAATGGTACAATTATTGTTAAGTTTCTTTGTGTTACTACTGCTCCACACCCCCCAAAAAAGTGTCCTTATCTTTATATTCAATGGTTGTGCAGTACAGGACTCATTATCTCCTTTACATGGCTGAAAGAAAATCCCCAAGGAGAGTTTAGCAGGAGTGTCCTCTTAATGTTACTATTTTAAACTACGGTGGTGAGAAAAGCTTGCATTATTTAGTATCTGTTTCTAGGTAGAGCAGAACATGAAATCTGGGTTGTAAGAAACAGTGTATAAGTGATTTGAACTGGAATTCTATAACCTTTTCCCTTCTTTTGTACTGAACTTTCATTGCTTGGCAAGTGCTAAGGATAATTTCAATTATCCTCCAAGGAGGAGAGAGAAATAACCGTTAAAATCCGTGGTTTGTAATTAGAAAACCATTACTTTGCTAAGCAAAAAAGCCCAACCAGGAAAACCCACATTGTGCCTCTAGAAGCTTGGTATACCTTGCATTTAAAATTACCAGACACTGTCACTCTACAAGAGAGACTTAGGAGAGGAGGAAAAGGTATAAAATGTTAATTCATACAAGTAGCTTGGTCATGCAGATAATTCCCCTCTAGGCATACCACAGAGCTAACCAAATCTATGGATTTTTAAATTGTTTTAGTGTTATCTAAAGACCTTCCAGAGTACGATAGCAATTTCTTTGAAGTTAACTGTATCCAGATTAGTAGTTTATCATCAAAGAAACAAGAACACAATTTCTTTTAAAGCAGCCAAATATCTCATTGTTAACATACTTTTAAATTAATCCTTGCATTAGAAACTTTTATCTTCATAGGCATCACTTCTGCAACAGTTTCATCTTCTAGAAAATGCTGAATGTTTGTGAGGGAAGATGTTAGAAATTCAGCACTGAAGTTCTCCACATGACACTGAAGAAAACCATTTTTCACAGCTAGCAGTGAATGTACAACAGCACTAGGACCATTTTCCCATCTCAGACTAATCTCAGGTGATGAATTAAGAGATCCAGTCACAGATTTACAGTCAGAACCTGTTGCAAAAGGAAAACAAATTTGCATTAAAATTTAGCACCATACAAAAAAACAATTATGATGTAATTATTTGTCTCTATTGTCCAACTGATTGTCCAAAAAGTACCTTAAAAGTATTATCCACAATAGGCAGCATTACAAATACACAACTTCAGAGCAAATTTCCAAGCATATCACTTCAAAGTACAAAAAATAAACTAAGAATACATACAAGGACTAGTACCTCACTGTGACAACAGAAAGGACAATGCAGAAGTATCACCACCCACAAAAAAATTTGTGTTTCCTTGGTGCCTTGACAATGGAAAACCAACTATTCAGTCTCAGCCATTAAGTCAATTTTAGTTATCTTGCAGATATTTGAAAGAGGCAGAATCAAGGGAAGATGGAGTAAAAATTGCATTAAACAATTTGGAAGCTGTTATGAACTGCTGTTTCCTTCTCACAAGCATGTCAAGCATGATAAGTTCTCAGTAAAATCACTGTCCTTCCCACAGAACCTCTGCCATATTCCATCCCCCTTCTTTTGTTACTGCTGCCAGACAAGATCTGATAAAGGCATAGTCCTGCATCCAGGCCTGCAGGGAATTGCACAGTTGCCACATTGCCCTCAACTTACTCTAGATTTTAGGTACATTTTTCCCTTTCTACATCTACTGCATTAACAGTATAATACGTTTTAAATGGTTATTTTCACCCAGAACACCTTCATAGACTGTAATTATAACTTGAGTATTCGCTGCTTTGCATAGTTCTTCAGTTTACTGGTTACAGCTGTTAATGTAGCACCTAAAGTTTTATTAAAGGTCATGGAGAAAGAGTTGCCTCTAGTGGGATATTATTGTACACGTTTGCTCACTTGTTCTTTTAGTGGTATTTTGTTACTGTTAACTCATTTAAATGGTATTTTTTGATCCGATTCTCAAGCTTTTCCCCCTTTGTTCTTCTAATAGAATAAATGTAGGAGATGGGAAGCAGCAGTGGCTGCAGAAGATTTCCTGACTCAGTACAGAAAGCATAGCCCTGCAGTGGAGAGATGTACATTATAGAATCAGAGTGACTAGCAATGTACAAAAAAAGTGGTATTGGCCCACCCATTCAGGTACCCACCAGAAAGAGGAAGGAAGTCTTTGAAGATCCCAATCATGTTTTAACCTTTTGTCCACAAAATAATCAACCAGTACATAAATCTCTCATAATCAGCTAAACCAGAGGAAGCAGGTTCTAGTTGTAGAACACATGTGAGAGCAGGAAGGTGATATGTTCATACTGTTTACTCCCTCTGGCTTTTACAAAGGATATGGCAGATACCCAGAAATCAATTTGCCTGCTGTAAGAACTGAAGGTCAGCCATGAGTCTTCCCTGCTAGACCTCCTACTTGCCTTGATACTTGAATACAATATGGTAGAACAGCTGCTCCAGGCAGCAGCTGCTGGCAATGGCTCAGCTGACCAGTAAAGGGGTTCTTTAGCCTGGGCATCAGAGGCTGTGGCACCTCTGAAGCTGAAGCACAACCTCCTGAACAAAACTCATGCTGCTAGAAGGTTGAAATAAAACATAGCAGCCAACAGCTGTTATAGCTATTTCCCAGGAAAGGAGATGAACCAGAAACAGGAAGCAGGTGCATCAGGGATCTGCCCAAAAACCCTATGGCACAGCAGAGCTGGCATCCAGCAATCCATGTGGAAGGCTGGCAGAGGGGAGCAAAGAAATGTGACATGAAGTGGCATACCAATACTTCATGCCAAGGAAAGAACCTCACTGTATGAGAACTTGGTGAATGTATGTGTGGCACTCATGCCCAAGAAAAGCTCTGACAATACACTGGTTGATCTAGTTGTGCAGATGTCTGGCATGAAACTACACTCTGTTTCTATCAAGCTTTAAAAAACAAACACCCCCACCCCCCCAAAAAAGGTGGTCTGTCCTCACAGCTAATCTTTCTTAATAGAGAATAATTTTTAAAGTTTTCTTAAACCAAATATTATAAGTCTGTTTAAACTGTGGGTGTAATTTAATCTAGAAAAACAGATCTTGAAAAAAAAGAACAGCCCTTCAAACAAAGGTACATTAAGCAAAGTGTTATTAGGGACATAAGGGAGTTCCATCTTCACAAAACAATAACCAGTGTAACGCGTTGTGGTTTCACCCCAGCCAGCAGCCAAGCACCACACAGCCGCTCACTCACTCCCCCACTGCAGGACTGCAGAGAGAACTGGAAGGGTAAAAGCTAGAAAACTCATGGGTTGAGATAAAGACAGTTGAATAGGGAAAGCAAAATCCAAAACATAGTCCCATACCAGCAACTACGAAGACAATTAAGTCCACCCCAGCCAAAACCAGCACATAATGCAACTAACTTCATTTTTTAAAAAGCAAACTAATGACCAGAATTCAATATAATGCATTTTTTTACCCACACAAGCATAAATGGTCCCATTTATTTGTTATCTTCCCTTTTAATGTATCGTAAGCAGGAAAGAAATCAGAGTTCTAAACCAGCATAAAAACGGATGCTATTGAACTAATATAAAACTGTGTTTGCATCTTTATTTACTTAGAACAAATATTTCCAGCTTCAGTTTCCCAACACTGAATTGGTAGTTCTTACCAACAGTTCTGTTGCACAGATAGTGTCGAACACTAATGTTTCCCAACTGATGTGGTATCACTCGGTTGACCTGCAGGCAAATTTCTGTGTCCTCACCCCTGATGTCGATTTCACCATTAACACCAAATACTTGAAAAACCACAACAGACATCTGTCAATAAAAACAAGATAAAACAATATAAGATTATAAGATGAATTTATAGTGATTATTGTTTCTAGGATCTGTTTAAACCTTTTCCATCACAAACCCCTTTGTATCCAAAACCCTAACTCACAGAAAAGCACAAAGTTTTCTCATTTCTGCTTTTCTTTTTGGCTTCATAATGCTCAACTGTCCAAAGACAGACACTTGTATTTATAACCCACTGACACCAATTCAGAATTGGCTAGAAAAGCCATGAAAGTGAGACAGACTTTTTCCACTCTGACAGAGAAGCACATGATCTATGTGACACCTGAAATTTCCTAAGGCTGCATTCAACTTTACCCATATCATAAGCACAACCAAGCATTTGTGGTGCTGAATCAGACCAGGTTAAAGAGCCAGGAGAGGGTACTAAACTTTAGCTATCTGCATAGTAGTCAGCCCTTTTTCTCTATTTATTGGGTTGCAGTATTTTTTTTAAAAGAAGTAGAAGCCAGTTTTAAATCAGCTTTGGTATCAGAAGGTGTGTGTCCATCATCATTACTGCTGTGCTGTTTTCGGCTCATTTTTCTAATGACTTTTAGTTACAGTCTACAAGTAGATAAATATGCTAAAATGTATTTGCATAAAAATCCGAATTAATTATGTTTTTTCCATATTACCTATATGCATAGGTGATTGAGAATTTACTTAAAAGGAATCAATAATTCAAGTGAGCTGTTTTTTTTTATTTTTTAAAAAATGAAGGCGATCCACAAATATTTTAAAGCAAAGGCAGGATTACATGACTAACATTACTGAAAAGGAAAAATACATCAGCAAGCACACAAGATATTTCAGTAAATTCACTGTCTTCCTTTGGGCCCATATTGTCCTAGGTTTCCAGTTCATGACCTTGACTGATAGAACACAATTTGAGAAGCATTGATTAGGACCAGGATCAGCATGGAGTAAGTACACAGGCAGATGAAAAAACTGGACCCTGCATGGTGTCTCAGGCAAGGAATCTCTTTCTACATGTGCTAGTCTTATAACCTTCTCTAAACACTGAGCATTGTCCTGACATAATCCTGGACAAGAGGCATCTCTGATCTGACCCTGCAGCACACTTAATACAGTGTATTTGAAAATTCTACAAAATGCTACCAGTGCTTAGGAAATATCTTCATATTAGAGATGTCAGAGTTATGGTGCTTTCTCTTAGCTATATGTGATAATGATAATGAAAAGCTCATTTTAAATATCAGATTCAACAGAGTATAAAAGAATGTGATAGTATTAAAAAAATATTGTTATATACTAAAGCATAAATATTTTCTGACATTTTTAAGTGGCTGCTGTCATTTCTCAACAGTGGCTATAGAGAAGATAACAAAGAGAATGCTCAGTGGAACTTGGATTGTAATCATTTGTACTTAACACAAGTGCACTAGATCTGTAAGCTTATATAATGCACTAACAAAAGCTGCCAAAATTAGTTGAAAAATCACCTCTAAAAACAATCATTTTAGTTCTATTTTAAGGTTTAATTTACTGAAGCATGTATTCTCATGGAATACAATATTACCATTTCTTCACTGGTCTCATGGGCATTCTCTGAAGCAGCGCTCATGGCATCTGGAGATGACCCATCACAATTTTCAATCACTGTGCCTCCTTCATGGGCATTTTCTGATGGACTTTGATAGTTTGTGGCTGTAATACCTTCCATATATACATCAGAAAAAATGCAAAGTTAGCATTTGCACTCCTACATTAAGAATAAAGTCAGTGTTTGTTACTGTATGCATACATTAATTCATTTTTTAAGATGAGTTGAATGGCTTATTAAACAAATATTTGTGATTGAACTGCCAAATCCATTCCTCTTACAGAGTTCAAAGTTCTAGATGCTATGCAAGTAAAGCAGAATATAGTGACAAAACCAAAACAGCAGTCTACATGCATTGTTAAAAAATTCTGAATCTTCCAAATCAAATATAAACCTGATCAAGTAGAAAAAAAAAGGTTACAGATTCCAAGTTGTGTATCTAAAATACAGCACAGTGCCTTTAGAGCAAATGTTTGTGGTTTTATGTTTAGAGAAATAAGCTACATATATTTTCATTAGAGTAATCATGGTATTGTTTCCTTGACAACTAGAAAGCATAGAGACTTAACCTGCAGTTAAATACTGTTTAACAAGCCAAAAAGACATATAAAGTTATTTAAAATGAAAAATATATTTTATGGCATACTCCCACATAAGCACATACAGGAATACTCCTACAATTCAAATATATAACAGGTTTGCAAGTGAAGCAGTCTTCTCATTATTGCTCTAGACTGAAGAGAAATCCTACAGAAAAAAAGTAGTCATTATTTATTCAAAGTAGAATTTATCAGAAAACAGGTACCAATAAGGTCTTCTTACTCTATTTCCTGACATTAGAAAATTATTTAATCAGTATATGCACAGACGAGCAAAAATTGGACAAACAGATGCTGTTAGACAGTCAACAGCTAGGAACTGCTCCTTAAGGAACAAACTGCAAGGAGACTACCAAATCTATCTGCCTGGTAACTAGCATGGTGAGTATTAGTGAAAATCCATTTCTTTTTCATCTACTTTTAAACTGAAAGTTTCTTTACCACTTCAAGCATAATACTGACTCAGGGTACAACCTGTAAATACTTGCAGCCAAAGCAACAGGTTTTAAGTAAAGCAGGGAACAAGTTCTGCTTGATTCAAAGTTGCAACACAGCACTTCAATGCTCTTACTTTCCTCAAGAGAGGAAAAAAGTAAGTAGTGTTAAGTACCACTGCTTAAGTAGCACACCTTATTTTCCCTTGAAATGATGTTTGGTGAATATACTGAGTATTACTGACTGGTGAAGGCAAGAGAAATAGTCTCGTAAAGTATCCAGGTTTTGCTGGACTAGAATCCTTTTGAGTATTATTTTAGTTATAAACAACATTTTCGTGTATTGCTTAAAAATATTTTGTTAAACCTACTTACCTTTCTCCAGAAAGCTTTGACTGTCACTTCCATCACTCTCTATCAAATGATCCTCTAGCATCATACTATCAATAGAGATGGTATCCAGAGAGACTTGTGATGGACTTCTCTTCATATTTTTGTAAGAAACAGAGAATGCAGGGAGGTTGGATGAGCAGCGTTCCTTAGGCTTAGCACTTTAAAATTAAAGATATTAGGAAATTATTATTTCAAATTAAAGGAAAGACATAGAAGTTACTTAAAAAACTTGCTCTAAACTAGGCAAGATATAAAAAAACCCCTCTGATTATTCAAATGATTAATCCTTTGACAAGTAAAAGAAATAAATGTAGAAACGACATGCATTCCTCTGGGTATTTGTGTCAACACTTTTCTCAATACATATTTTATAACATTTGAACTGAAAGCAAATAGTTTAAATCAATTAACTAACACTTCCTTTTAGTTTTCACTGAATCCTGGATACTGCATATCTTTCTACATACTTTAAAAATTTTCATCTACTAGATGTTCACTTCCAGACTGCTAAAAATACTAGAAGTATGTGGCCAACAAGATTGCTAAATATTTTCAAAGAGTAGGAAAACTGATTTAGTATTAAATCTTCTATACCTTGATGAAGACTGGGATGCAAACATTTTAACTGAAGTCACTTGGTCTTTGTTGATTTCAAGCTCTTCAGATTCTAAGGCAGTTTCTGTTTCCAAGTCATTGACTTGGTTAGGACAGCCTTCAGTTGTGCCTTCCTGTTCATTTAACTTATTTGAGAATATATTTCTGTCATCCTCTTTATCAATGAAAAATTCAGTAGAATCTTCTCTCTTATTCAGAATGGACACTGAATCCCTAGGATTCAAGCTACTTTTCTCACTGAGAGGTCCACAGACCTCCTCTGAATCACTTCTACTAAAGAGTCCACTGCTTCCTCCTTCACTTGTATCTCCCAAACCTTTATCTGATGCATCATCTGAAAATGACATTCCTTTCTGAAAATCTGTATTACTGTCTGATTTAAACAAAAGAGGATCTATTAAAATTCCTTTATTAACTTCAGCATTCAGAGGCTTGCAGTCATTTACATAATTAAAATTAGTAATACCAGCTTCCACTATCTTACTACCAACTAATTTACTCTCTGAAGTAAGAGCTTCCCCATTTCCCACAGGGGAGAGTTCTGATGCCACGGGACTTCCTTCTTCCACAACAGGAGACTTACAAGGGTTTCCCTGAGTCACTGGATGGAGTAGTAAGGCTATTTCTGCACTTTTCAGTAGGATCCCAATGCAGACATCTGTTTGCTTTGCAGGTTTTCCTGTCACTGCTTCTACGTCATTCCTTAAGTTTTCCAGGAGCAATACAAGAGATTCATGGAGAAACAGCAAAAAAAGATACTGGTAGTGATTGATCTGCACGCTTACATGTTTCTGAACATGGACAAGAACATGTACATCTGCATCAGAGGAAGAGCTTTCAGAAAGCACTCCTGAAGTCTCAGACATTTGAATGCCATTGGTCAAGGGCTCTGTCTCAGTGCTGTAATATTCCTTTAGAAGTTTTTTACGTTGCAATCTATTAGCAAGATCACTAGATTCACTTCTTGGAATGTTCAAAGCTGTCTGATTATGCGATAAAAGCTCTTTTTGTGACTTTGCAAATCTTACAGGCTGGCAAATCCAAAGTGAAAGCGGGAATGAGTCCACAAAGCTTATTGGTCGGCCTTTCCCACTTTTCGTTCCTTCATAATCTATCCAAAACTGGGAAAAATGCAAAGCCCAAACATCAGTAGCTGCAGATGTCTTTAATGCATATTTATTCAATTTTGGGATGATATAACCTTTATAAACATCATGCATTTTAGTGTCTTGTTCATGAGCATGTCTCTGGAAGATTGGATGCAAAAGATTAAAATTTTTCTGGGACTTAGGAAAACTGGTGAAAGTTCTACTAAAAAATTCAGAGTCTTTGAAGTTCTGAAACAAAGCTTCTAGATCAGAGTGTCTGCAGTTTGGTGAGCATCTGGTGTTCGTAGCAATCATCTCTGAACTTTGAATGGAAAGTGCACGAGGTTGATCTTTATGAATTTCAGATTTGTTTTCAAATGGGATGATGATCTGCAAGGGAGAAATATATTTGTCTAGTTAGAAATATGTAGCTTAAGAAGGTATACAATTAAAGAAACAAAATAATAGCCACGACAGCTAAAACAAAGTAATATAATTTTATGAGAGCAGGGATAAGTCAGGCTCACAGTCTATGATTTATGTTTCCTCTAATTTTCAAGAAGGATGCTGTGGCATCTAAACCTCAATGTTTGTACAGAATGTAAGGGTCTCAGGCTTTTCTTATCTGAAGGTCTTAAATTTAGTTCAGCTACATTAGGCTGAAGTGTCTCATTTCTTCAACTGAGAAACAGCTTGGTAAAAAGTTTCTTCAAGTGTTTCAAAAATTTATAACTTTGAAAAACAGAGAATTATAATCTGGAGTTCAATTTGATTTGTCAAATAAGGTTTTTCACTACACTGAGTACTACAATATTTTATTTCTATATTAAGGTAAAAGCAAACACTTAAATGTGCTAATGCAGCTAATGTTCCTAATATTGCAGAATACAGAATAGGTATTTCTGACAATTATCTGATAATAATAATACATTTTTTCATCATAAAAATAACAATATGCTCCAATTCCTAAAAACCATCAAAAGAGTTCGGTAAACTGTATTTTATTTAACTTGAGTATTTTTAGTGCCAGTTTTAACGGTAACACATTTTATGCCAAATCCTGTATCTGATGTTGTTAACATGGACCTTGGCCACACTAGTTTTGGTACTATCAGTGATACTACCTTCTGTCACATCTCCATGCTGAATCTAGAAAGTAGGAGTAAAAAAAAAGTCATCTTAATGACACTTAAAGATGGGAGTAATGAAGCTTCTTCAAGTCCATACAAGGACTCAGAACAAAATAAAAAAATGAAATAATTACTATATGATATATAAACATCGAGCACACCATTAAAATAGTAATCATTTGCTAGATTAAAAATAATGCTCTTAATACAAGGATGATATAAATAATTTTAGTCAAGGGGTGAGGTATTTAAGAATACTTTAACTTCTCTTAGTTTAGTAGGTTATTCATAACTAATAATTCAATATCAGATCAATCTATATTTGCAGTTGTCCAGCTGTTAACTCTTAATAACTACTTTTATTCAGTACAAACCATGTCCTTTTAAAGTTCCATTAAGTATGTACCAAGAGCCTTAGGAAGATAAAGATCTCTCCATAAACTGACTTTTTAGAACCTTTGAAACCTCTCCTGTGAACACCATTGAAAAAACTCGTTTTGTTCACCTCTGAACCTTGGAAACCATGCAGTGAAATGCCCAATGCAAACAGGGGATGAGGGAGGGTGGGAAGTTTATCTGCTCAATGATTCTTTTTCTACAAAGAAGGAAAATACAAGGGAAGCAAAAATTTGATGTTCAGTTGCATTAACAAGCATCACTCCTCTGGAATATAGAGAACTTGTGTACCTGAACTACAGCCAACAGCCAGCATGAAACAGAAAACAGTGAGAATGGGTTTTGGAGAAGGAAATAAACCTTCAGATGAATTGCTTTCTTTGCTCCAGGCTCTTGTTCTTTTACTCTTTACTCTTGTTCACTAACAAGATGAAAGAGATATACTACAAGCAGAGGAACAAGAGAGGGCCCTTGCATTAATATGGAGTAAAAATATGACTTTTTTCACCAGTTACTTTTACTTCAGTGCTCAATATTTTTTTCTTCTGCTATGTCAGGTTCACCAAACACAGGGAAATATTTTGTTAGTACTCCCATTCAGGTCTTCAAATACAAAACCAAAATACCCCTAGGACATAGATGAAGTAGTACAGAAGACAGATGTCTGTCTTCAAACCATCATATTCTGCATAGTTTTTGAGAGCAGCGTGGCTTATTGCATGGGCTGTTTGTTCATTCATTGGTGTATTTATTCCTTAAGTTGCTTGCTAGTAGCTTTTTAGAATAAGAGAAAAAACATTTTTCCAAGAAACCACAAAACCTTCCTCAATGACAGCATACCTTCAACATTAGTCCATCCACTCTAACATCAACATGTTCATCTGATTTTGAATTGTCATTTAGCTTGTACATGGCCATGAACTGAATAAGACTCTGTTTCAAATCCAACACAAACTGATTCAGCCAAAGAATACTTCTCTCATCCAGGGTGAACTGTAAAGCATTCAGCTGGCCATACAAATTCGGACATGGAACTAAAAGAAAAGAGAAAACAAAACTATAAGAATAAGTAAAATGTTTATAGGTCAGGTTTTGTTTGCTTTTTAAATGGGTGCGGACTTACATTTTCACCAGTATTTTTCATCAGAGAAAGAACACAAACCCACTCCTTTAGTCTCACAGAAGAATAAATTGTTAGGGGATACCTGAAGTGATGCTTCTTTCTCTCACTTTAAGCAAGGGACTGAATTTTTGAATGTAAAAACTAATATTAGAATAGAATCAAGTCTGAGGAGAGGGAGAGAATGTCCTCATTACAGAGGAAGGGCAAAACCACAGAGATTCGTTGTCCTCAAGTCCCATTCCCAGGAAATCCACTGACATTTCTGTATATAAAACAGGGCCAGCCCCAGAACACATTCCTACAAATAACTCCAGCAGATCTTTGTTGCATCTTAGATACTACTGCAATAGTTTGAGTTATTTTATGTAGGCAGACAGTGAAACTGCAGAAACAGTATGTGGATGTTGGAGAATGAATAATTAATGTGCCAGTAAAAATGCTGTGTTTCCAGACTTACAAACCATGTTTATAAAAAAGAGTATTACTAGGAGTCTGCCAGGAGCAAGCACTGAGGAAATGGAACAGTGTTGTGGGTTTTTTTCCATTTTAGAAAGCTACTACTTATTTCCAAGCTTTAAGCTTCAAAAAGGTGAAAGCAACACACAAAATTTATGCTTCAGTACAAAAAAAAGAGAAGTCTTACTAGGAAAGTCCTTTCCATCTGGATAGTAATATTCAGTAAATTCAATATGAATAGCTGGCATTTCTGGTGGAAGATAAAGTGACTTTTTATTGCAAGAGATCAGAGCTTTAGGGGAAGAACGACACTGGTCTGCTGTCGAAACCTGTAAAAGATAAAAGATTAATTTCATTAATATATTACATTTTTATGAATCATTAGGCAATTGTAGTTGCAAGGTACTGTCCCTAACAGGGTCATATTCCACTGCTCTCAGCTGTAGATCCTCAACTACAACACACAATGCGATACACCTAGTTGCCTTGTAGCAGAAGCAATCCATACAGAACACTTTCACAAGAAAACTATATAGTTTTAAAGGTATCAGATCCCCTTCCTTCATAGGAGGCAGGAGGTAGCAGGTCACTTTCAAAGGTGTTCAGTAGAAGCCTAGAATGATCTGATAATCTTTACTGCAAACACTACAGCTCCTGTTTAAGCAGTTACGCTCGGATTTAGTGTGTTTGCATACAGTCTGTCCCAAAGGATCCCATAACTAGATAAGGGATAGATAAGCTAGAGAAGTTTATTACACACATATTAGGAAGTCCTTGTACTGTTGTAAGGACAGATTCCAGTACACAGGCCAACTCTCAAATACATGGTAGGCAAGGTGTTCAGCATGCACCTGGCAGAGATATGTGTGCTTCGATATGCCTGAAGGGCTACTTCACAGGAGAATCAAAACACCATGGAACAGTAATCCTCCATTCCTGTCTCCTTACAATGTAAATTATGGAACATGGAAAAAAATCACGATTTTATATGTATTAAATTTCTTTGACTGCATCCCAGTTTAAAAAGAATGTTGTCAAAACAAAGCTCTTTCATTCAACAGTTAGTAGGTCAAACTGCTAGTTTGAAATTACCCAGTGTATTAATATGGAATATATGATGATGCCGGAAATTGCATAGAAATAATGACGATTAAAAAAATTGAAAATGTGTTTCTATAGAGGAGGAGATAAGCATCTGAAGAGCAGAAGGCAAATGGAAACACCAACAGTACAAAACAATATTATAAAACCACTTCAAACTCAGATGAAGGCTCCTAGTAGCAAGCTGCAACCCTTCACAATACCAGAAGTGATATGGAAAAAATGTGTTGAAAACTGGAACAAGAGCAAGTAGAAATCACAATGACAAAGGGCACACACTAAGCATTTTTGTTAGGACCTGAGACTTAGAGTAGATCCTCCCATATCCCTACCATTCTGCCTAACAAATATAGTCCTTCTCTACTCCACTCGCCTCAAAAGAGTGAATCTGGACCACAACCAGCAACTCAAACTACCCCCTCTAACAAAGGGGAGGGGGATGGAAATGGTTAAAGTGTCTACTCAAGATATCACAGAGGAGGGAGGGACTGAAGAAAAATTTTAAAAATTTAAAAACCCTCAACATTTTTTAATTTACTTTGAAAAATATAACAATAAAGCCTGGTATACAAAACTGCATATTAAAATATCGGGTACCTAACATAGTACAATGAAAAGATCCATTTTTAAATTTCAAATTCATAATTTGGGGAATAGTAGAACTAGGATCCAACACATAACTGTGATAGTGCCACAGTATAAAGTCAATGAGAAAATATCCACCAATTTTAACAAAGCAGAAACAGGTCCATAAAGGTCTAATCCAATAATGAATGCATAGTCTCATTAATTTCAATGGGCTTCATAATTGTCCCTTAAAAAACACAGATAACAGTGAAGGGTGAAGTAGCCCCAGTTTTACTAACTTTAAGAAATGTACCTGATATATATTGAAATCTGCAAGTCTAACCACAATAGGACTAGACATCAGTTTGCCCTTTGGATGTTGGGAAGATACAGAGGAAGCCCTAGATGCTCCTTTCGGTATCTGTTCTTTGCCTGTAGGAAAGAATAGTGATGGAATCATTGAAAAGAACACTTTTTTTTTTTTTTTAATAGTTTTAACATTTCATGGAATTAGAGCATTAGTGATGCAAACAAAGTACCTGTTTGTAGGTTCTGGGGAGATACATCGGGTGGTGATTTGGGAGGAGAATCTACAACCTGATCCTTCACAGCCTGCTTAAGCAATTCAACATTGCTTTTGAATTCATTTAATAATTCTTCAGCCCATCCACTTCTGGTTTTAGTGGCATCACTATAATGCATCCAGTGGTCACAGCTGTCTCCTGCAAATAAGAGGAATGGTGAAAATATTAACTCATTTGAAAGTTTGCTTCTAACAGGATAACAAGTTTGCACTATTTCACAATTCTTCAAAATATAAGCTCATTGCATGCTGTAATTATAGAACAACAGAAGTCATAACAGACTTTAAAACAGAAGTTAAATATTACATAAACACAAGTCTCAGTACTTCACAAAATCACTCAGAATATAATATTACCACCTGCCTTTTAACACCACTAACACTCAAAACATCATCAAATATTTGCAGTTCAGAGAAATTTGATGACACACTAATGTCATATGTGAGAACATGCAAAAAATGTTTAATCAAAAAAAAAAATGAGAGCAAGTAATCACGGTCACTTTTTCCAAGCTTATCTTTCCTGCCAGAACTATGTCCTAAGAAGTTCCTGGTCCCTTTCCAGAAATGTATTCTTTTTGTCTTAGTTCTGTAGCACCTTTATGGCACACAAACAAGAAGGTAAGTTCAAGCAGTGCTGCAGCACACACAGCCTTAAAAATCAAGTCAAACGGAAATTTTTTTATTCCTTTTTCCAATTCCTGTTCCAATTCCAGCATGTCTGTTGGTCAAGCATTCAAACCTCTGAAAGAAATTGAGATATCTTCAGTCTCTGTAAAGACATTCTACTAACCTGTTCAATAAGGATGCAATACAAATAACTTGTACCAGCTGGTACATCACTCTTTAAATACCACCATGTGAAAATTTACTTTATTTGGGACTTAATGAGCCTTTGGATACTTACACTGAGGATGAGTAGATATGGTTGCTATTAAAACAGGAAAATGTTTTCAGAAAAAAATGTGACATCAAGTCTAAATGCAAGTATTTCAGCATGGAAGAAACCTTTAGGGAGGGGCCTATCACAAGACATGATATTTTTCCCCACCCTACTACCTCACAGATATCTTTGGTGGTTATTCACATCTTTATAGCTAAGGAAGAAGAGAAAGGAACAGGGAAGAAACCAGAAAGAACAAAAGGGCGAAGATGCATTGAACTGAAGCCCATGAAGCTGGGATTCTCCAAAACAGGACTAAAGTGGGGTCACCCCAAGTTTATGCACACAAACTCTGAAGTACCTACAGGACTTCAGTACAGCAACACCACAGGTACTGAAGCTCTCATACCGCTTCTCGGAAGTCAGTTTGGGCAGCTGCCTCTTTGAAGTGCTTGCACACTAGTGTGGGAGCAGGGGGAATTACAAATCTGTATGCAGTTGCAGGGCTGTGATCTCACTGGGGTCACAGACATGTGGCAAGACAGCACACACACAACTGAAGTGCTGCAAATGATGAATAAAGGCTTTTGGGAAGCACAAGTCAAGAGAGAAAGGAGGGCAAGATCAGTGGAAACTGAGCTCAACCTTGGGATGGCTTATCAGCCAGCTGAGTGCTTACAGGTTGGGATTAAAGGACAGACCAACAAGGATGATGATTTGATGGATTTCTGCTCCAGACCATCTGATTAGAAAGATGATGAGGCCCTTTTCACACAACTGAAAGAAGTATGATGTTCACAGACTCTGGTCTTCGTTAGGAACTTCAGGCACACCACCATCTACTGCAGGGACAACACACCAAGACAAGCAATCCATGCGATTTCTGAAAGTGCATTGATGACCACCTCCTAACACAGGTAATCAAGGAGCCAGAGAGCACAAAAAAAGGAAGAACTGGTCAGGGATAAGAAGGTCAGGGGCAGCCTTGGCTGCAGTTACCATGACATGGTGGAGTTCAGGATTCTGAGGTGAAGGAATGAGACAAAGACAAATGACAGCCCAGACCTTCAAGAGAGCAGCCTCTGATCTCCTGAAAGAATATGGGATATAAACATGGACAGAAGCAGAGTTCAGGAGAGTTGGGTGAAGAATTGCCTCCAAGCCAAAGAATGGAAAAGCAGGAATCTAGAAAATGTTCAAGGGGGCCCATGTGGATGAACTAGGAGCTGTACAACACGTGGAAGTGGTATCAGGTTACCCAAAAAGAATATGGTGGATGGTGGTTAGGAAAGCCTACCTGGAGTTCAGTCTAATAAGACGCATTACAGGTGTATCACAAGCAAAAGGAAGAGCAGTGAAAGCTTGGACTTGCTGCTGAATGGACGGGGGACCTGGTGAAAAACAGCGTGGGGAAGGCTGAGACAGTCAATGCCGTCTTTGGTGACACTTGCCTTCAAGATTCCCAGGCCTTGAAAACTTTGGCAGTCTTCCCCTCAGCAGAAGAGCATTAACTTAGGAAACATTTGATCTGTTGATCAGACATCCACCAGTCCATAGAAACAAGTGCTGAGAGATGTCAAGTGCTGGCCAATGTCATGAGGAGGCCAGTCTGATTTATCTTTGAAAGGAAAGGTTTCTGAGGACTGGAAGAAAGCGAATGTTATTGCTATCTTCAAGAAGGAGGATAAAAAGAACAACAGACCGTCAGCCTCACCTCAAAGAAGGTAATGGAAGAAGGTAAAAGAGGGCAACAGACCAAATAATCCTGGAAACCATTTCAAAATACACTAGTGACAGGCAGGTAATTGGAAGTACATGTGCATGGCTTTATAAAGGAGTCATCCCTGGGGAACTTTACAGCCTTCTACTATGAGACAAGTGGCTTGATGGATAGATAGGGTAGAGCATTGTTTACCTCAGCTTTAGCAAGACTTTCTCCACTTTCTTGTTAAGTGCTTTGTAACATGTATCTTGTCTCTTCTAAATTTTTTAGATTTATACTAGAAATTATTTGTAAGAAATGCTTCTTTGGAAATTGCTAACATTTGCTTAATGACATTTCTTAACAAAAGGACAAAAACCTCTACCACACTAGGATTCTTGTTTAGCAAAATAAAAAGCAAAACACTGCTCAGATATGGACGTAAAATAATAGACTTGTTTATGTGAAAAAATCTAGCAGATGGACTCTTGCAAATATGCAGTTAGTGAATTCTCAATATGACATACTGCCTTCCTCTGTCAACACACAATTCTTTTCATGTCAGAAATGTGTAAACACCATTTTGCTGACCAAACAGAACAGTGAAAAGTGTGTGGCCTCAAACAGCTCATTCACAGAAATTAAATTGGTTCCCAGGTTGTTGCTTTTGTTGTTTGTTTTTGCATACAGAAGGAAATAAAAAGGTGTGCATTTCAAATGCTTTAAGCATTATTATCCAAGCTGAATATATACAAACACAATTTTTTTTAGTATTCAAGCAAGATAGTTACATTCAGAGGTAATTCACAAAATGTTCACTTTCATACCTGCTTTGTGAAATGGATAATAGTCCACTGTTAAATAGCTGAAGGAAAGCTGCATGGCCCCTCCTGTAACACGTCTATTTGGGTCTGTAAAATAAAGCAGTGACTGACTCTGCAGGTTGCAGTTAGCATGCTAGTTCTCAATTGCTGCAATCCTTTAAACACTCAACAGCTACTTCTTCCTCCCCTTTACTGTCCTTACAACCTCATTATCTTCCCTCAAAACTTTCATTCAGGTAGTCTTCACTGATTTCTAAAGGTCAACTCAGAGAACTCTGTGCTCAGGCACTACCGGTAAATTGCGTATTGTTCTAAATGTTATTAAAAAGACAACATGTTCAACACGTATCACTGCGGTTTTTCTGAAACAAAACTTTTTACACTGAATACGACTATGATCAGTCATTTGAAGTCAACATTTACATTAAAGAATACTGTAAATATAATATGTTTTATTTGACAAATATTGCAGTGAAGAGATCTTCTGAGAGTCTTCTGTTCTGATTTTTTCCATTGTTCAATTTAAGCATCATGGCCAGAAATAAAGGACCAATAAAGAGACCTCACTAGGAATGATAAATTCCAACTGTAGTGGATACACAGCTTGTAAGGAAGTAAGTCTCTAGCCAGTGACCCCTATGCTCTGCTGCTCTGCCAGTGCCTTCCCTAATCAAGGAAACACATTTGCTAAAACTTCAGTTTTTCACACTCTTCTTCAGCAGACCTTGTATGTTCCATAATTTTTTCAGTAACTAGCCAGTTCCTTGGATATACACCAGTATGTCACTCTCTTCTGATGACTTTTAAAAGACATGAAAGAAGTGTCATTTGCCTTCAGTTTTTCTGATTCTAAATATGGCTACATGCAATAGCCTTTTGTTAAAAAAAAAAACAAACAACATATCAAATTTACAGACAAAATCTTAAGGTCATGGGACACTTGTTCTATTCTTTCCATGTCCTGCAGACCATACTAAATTGTCTAAATTAGTAACACAAAGAGGACTGCTCTTTTATTAGTCTGTATATGAGTATTACAGAACCAGATTGCATAGTGACCCTTTCAAGCCTTGGTAACGTTACCACTGCATTCTTCATAACCCAGTTAACTTATAAAAGAAAAATCCCCAGCAGTAACAATCAGACTGAGAGGATCAGTTTCTAGAAGACAGAAAAAACACAGAAGCTACTAGCGCTCTTAGCACAGTTATTGCATTTATTCTAAAATAATTACATTCAATAATGACATATTGTCCTGGTAGAGCCATCTAGATAATTTTACACGTGTCCACAGACACTGGAGACAATTCTGACTATTCCACTAAAATAAAGACTCTTGATTAACATTACTGTATTCCTCAAAATGTCTTCTAAAGATGATTATAAGTCACAGATATGTTACTTAAAAAAAAAAATTACCTTTTTCTTTAGAATGGATATCATCACATATATGTAGGTCCAAATGGGAAATTACTAAGTGATGAGAAGTTTCCTTAACATCAAAATCATTAAATAATTTTACTATTGCATCGTTTTGATCAGACGCTGCTGTTGTCTGGTGCATTTTCACCTGCTGAGAGCTGGGTGCAGGGGCAGAGCTCTGAAAAAATATTTAGTTGTATCAATTTATGATGCTTATAATTTCTTTCAAGCATAAGTATCCAGTTACTTATACAAAACAAGTCTTTGAAATAAGGAAAAATCTGCAGGATGTACATTCACCTTGGATCATTACTAAGGTTTAAGTGTACTGTTTTAGAATAAAGCTAAGTTGAACTAATGGGTGTGCATCATAAAGAGGAAGTGCCAGTGCATCCCCATTCTCCCTGTCCTCCCTACTTCCTTACACGCCTGTCACTTGCAGTACTGGTATTTTTCTAACTTTTGTTGCAAGCTGTTCAGGGAACTAAACCAAGAGTGGGCTCCCTTCTGCTACTTAAGCTCCTCAAACTAAATCACAATAGGATCAAACATAAGTTGGTGCCAGTACCAGAGAACTGGCAAGTACAGGGCACTGAAGCATTGGAACCTCCCTGCTCAAGAACAGCCAACCATTAGATTGCTGTGGCTAAACCATCAAACCACATTGTAAGGCATCAGGACCACCACAAGAACTGAACTCTCCATTACAGTACATAACTGACAGTAATCAGTCTTAGTAATAAATCATGTTTTATTTTTATAGCAGTGTCTTTTACCAGTGTATTTGTCCGGCTTCTTCCCAGACAAGAAGTGCCTCCCCTCAACACTCACAAAGCCCAGTTGGTCTAGTCTGCTGCATTTGCTGAAGACCACCAAGGTTTATATGCAGCATCAGTAGCACGGATATGCCAGCAGAAATATGTTTAAAGTAGAATCATTTTTCGCTATATGTTCCAACGAGAGCTGCATGAGAGTAAGCTCTTACTAAAAGCTAATTTTTCAGTACCATGAGAACAAACTGGACAAGAAATTTAAATCATTATAGTAAGCATATCTACCCACACATTAAGGTTACCTTAGTGTGTCTTAATTATTTAAATTCATAACCAGAAAATATTGAGAGAACAAATTTACTAATTAGTTAATCAAGGGTTAAGTAAATACAGAAATCTAAATACTCTGTACATGAATAAAGAAAGAAAATATTTTTTTATTTTCTGCAACTAACATCAATATGCAAAATCCTGTAAAATAAAGTCTATTTTATACTACGATTCATTCCCAGGGTAATTCAAGATGTATAGCTGAATGAAAATTAGTAACTGAACATTCTCTAAAATAAATTACCACTTGATAATGATATAGTGAGACGCTCAATTCTCATACCTGGGCTGTTTCAGAAGCCAAGCTTTTCCTCTGTTCCGTTGATTTCTCTATAGCTTCACTAAGAGATTTGGCATACTGCACCATGGCTTTCAATTGGGAATCAGTCAAAACCCACAGCAAATCATCCAGAATCAGAACCAGTTTGGATGCCACTACATTACAATCTTTTAACTGTAGAAAAAAAATTTAAAGTTGAATGGGCTCAGTAAGTACTTAAGTTTCTTATATACATGGGGGGGAAAAAAGCAGAATGCAAAAAGCAATAACATTTTTTAATTTAAATTGTATTGCTCTCATTAACTAAGAATTACCCAAGACACAGTATATTTATGCCTCACTTTATGTGTTTGGCATGCACTGGATATTAAACTGCTGCATTTGTCTAAATATAAGCAATGTAAATATTACCTGAATCTAGAGAGGTAAAACAACAGGTATCATCATAAACAAAGTTCTGCAGAGCAAACAGTTTCATTAGTAGGACCTGTACAAGGTCTTCATTTTCAAAATCTGCCTGCAGTATTTCTCATAAACTCTACAGTCTTACCAATCATATGTTATTAAAAATTTAGTTCAGGGAATTCTACATTTTATACAGTCTAAATTTAAAACCTTTACAATGTGTGTGTATGCATTAAGGGCATTGGTTACAAATTAATTAATAAAATAATAAAAGATTTCAAACTTTTCAAGTTTACCCTTCTTTTAAGCGTGACCCTAATTTTGGATTGGTTAGTAATGAGTCGAACTGGAGCACTCATGATTTCATGCTTAGAACTCTGGATTGCATCTGCTTCTATTCTGATCATCTGCCAGTTGATTTCTTTAAAAGTCAAAACCTTTAGAGAGAGAAAAAGAGAAAGAAACAAACTTCATGCAATATGATGGTTTACTTGCACCTAACCATGTGTATGTATATATCTGTATATATATACACACAAACTCACATGAGCTATATGAACAGAATAAATACAAGTCACTTGTTATTCCACTTACAGGTGTTGGGAAGCAAAGCCCTGACCCTTCTTGCCTACCTCCAAAATGTCACAGAAATGTTTAGCTACTTCCAAGCAGGCCAAGGTAACAAGCAGCATTTAAAATATTCAGAAGAAAATAAAGGTCACAACTATTGCATACTAGGCTGCCTTTGGGAGAGGAAAGAAAAGATTGTGTAGTTTAGTTTCAAAATGTTAAATCATAGTATATAGAAAAAGAGTAGGGAGGGAAGCAAAGCTACAGGATGGGAGAGGGTTTTTTGGAGTGTTTTATTTCAATTAAAAGAGAAACTTAAACATTGAGCACACTGCATGCCATGTAGATCCCACAAGCTTTGGATCTACTACATGGATTTCTAGAAGACACAGCAAACAAATGTAAGAATAATGATACAAGAGCAGCAAGTACAGCTGGACACTGAAAATCAAACAGGGAAAAAACAGTGACTGTCCAGCAGCAACATGACGGAGAACATCAAATGAACAGGAGGACATCAATAGGAGGAAACTAATTCTAGTCCTTCCTACATGGTTTGGATGAGGGGATCGAGGTTACCCTCAGTAAGTTCACAGACAACACAAAGCTGGTACGGAGTATTGATTTGCTGGAGGGTAGGAAGGCTCTGAAGAGGGTTTTGGACAGGCTGGATTGATGGGCCAAGGAAAACTTTATGAGGCTCAAAAAGGCCAAGTGCCAGTCCTGCACTTGGGTCACAACAACCCAGGCAGCGCTACAGGCTGGGGGAAGAGTGACTGTCCAGTTCGGGGCCCCTCACTTCGAGTCAGACATTGAGGTGCTGGAGCAGGTCCAGAGAAGGGCAACAGAGCTGGTGAAGGGTCTGGAGCACAAGTCTTATGAGGAGCAGCTGAGGGAGCTGAGAGTGTTTAACCTGAAGAAAAGGAGGCTCGGGGAGACCTTATCACTCTTTACAACTACCTGAAAGGAGGTTGTATCAAGGTGGGAATCAGCCTCTTCTCCCAGGCACCTAGTGACAGGACGAGAGGACAGAGCTTCCAGCTGCACCAGGGGATGTTCAGGTTGGACATCAGGAAGAATTTTTTCACTAAAAGGGTGGTTAAGCATTGGAATAGGCTGCCCAGGGAAGTGGTGGAGTCACCATCCCTGGAGAAGTTCAAGAAATGACTGGACATGGCATTTAATACTATGGTCTAGTGGGCATGGGGGTGTTTGGTCAAAAGTTTGACTCAGTCTTGGCGGTCTTTTCCAACCTTAGTGATTCTGTGATAACTCTCTGAAGAAAAAAAGATCAGCCATAAGAAAAGCACAAGAAGGAAGAGTTTGTTTGGTATGCATCTTATTTTTCATCAGCCATTCTTTTCTTGTTAATTTGAAAATCTTATGGCATACATCCTGAGAATATAAGCAGAGACTTAAGTAAAACATTCCCAATATGTCTGGGAAGGAGACACACACAATCAAGTGAGCAAGATGGAAAGGCCCAGTGCAAATACTTCAAATACTGAAACAGTATTTGAAGAAAAGCAGAGTACCTACCCTTCTCATACAGGAGATGCAGTGTGATTGAAAGCTTCTAGAAAAATTCTAAGGAAATTCCTTTTCACAATAAGAGTATAGCTACAGTGCAAAGCTACAGCACAAGTTATCTTCATAGTACAGCACTTCATTTGTTTTTTCACCTTCTCATGTAATTTACTGCTAACAAATCATTCACTGTAATTTCTAAGAATTTATGTTTACAGAATTCATTGCCCTAAAAGGAACATTCCCCAGGGAAAATTCTGTTGTGTATGAGGCAACTGTTCGGAACCAAATTCTTCCTAAAAAGTAAGAAATATGCCAATTCAAAATTCCATCTGGTCAAACTTTAATTCTTCCTCTTTAGACTTCATTAACACATACAGTTGAGCTACAGGAAAGGTAAACTGTTAGAAAAACAGTTTTCAACTTCTTATTTTTGTGATATTTTTAACTGATATTCTCTTGGGCTTTCTTTTGCTATATAAAAGCAACTACCAGATTTCTTGACTCTAAGTAAACTCTATTTCTTCTGGAATAATCATCTCTAAATAGGCAATCATGGGCAAAACTTAAAACACCCTTTTATCCAAGGCCAGATGTATGATGCTAAAATAAGTCTCTCTAAACACAGTATTTAGAATCAACCTTGCACTCAGCATATATTTTACTTTGGTTACCTGGGAGAAAGCCAGGTAACCAATGGTGTACATCACTCTCAGACTTCCACATGAAATTCTCCCAGACAGTAGAAATGTATGCACTTTACTGCTATTACTTTTTTGCACACATATGATTTAGCTATTCCAACAAAATTATTTAATTCTTGCACAAGAACTTACCAAAATTCATTTAAAACTGCTTTAGGAAACAAAATCCTCACCAGGCAAACCTTCACAAGCAAATAACCAGTTGAGTTTTTAAAAATAGTAATAAAATAATACCAATACCAATAATAATAATAATAATAATAAAACCCAGCACAACGCCTTATCCCTCCACATTTAATATAGTATTCTTTTTTCTTTCAGTACTTTTCAAGTCTGGCCCAGTTTGAATTTTAAAATAGTCACAAACCTGGGGAACGTAAGAGCGAAACAACATTACACCTGCTTTCCTCGGCCTTTGTTCTTCCCTAAGCATCCACTTCAGCCACTGCTAGAAACATGACATTTGATCTGACTCACATCCACCATTTTTACATCTTTGGCTTCCTAGAGGACAGCTGAAACTACTGAGCACAGAATGCCTCCATTTCTAGTAATGGCATGTTTCCTATACTGCATAAGGCTGCAATTCAACTTACTCCTTTATGACAAAAACAAGGGAAAAAAGTTAGTAAAAGGTGTTCTTTACCTCTCCGCGCTGAGTTTCTTGTATTCTGGTAAATCTGAGGTCAGCATGTTCCCAGTTTGCATTTACACTATATATTCTCAGCTGGGAAAGTTCAAATGAGGCATTAAAGGCTTTTGCACCAATCCTTATTATAATGGAGTTCACAGAAACTGAAATGCCTTCTACCACTTTTTCAGCAAAGCCATATTCACTAAAAAGTGAAATGCCAACATATTAAATACATACCCAGGGAAAGGGACCAAAATTAAGCATATTAAACATGTGAAATAAATAATGAAACAGGTGTTAAAATAAATTAAGTTCCTAGTGTATTCTCCAGTGAGCAATTTTTACTCAATATACTTGATCTAGTTTATAATAATTTCCACCCTATGATCCTAATCTCTACATAGTGATTAAAGAACATATATTTGACTAAGATCAATCCACATGAAGTATAACAGTTAATGCGATCCTTCTATGTTAAATGTTTTATACATACATATAAATGTATAAAAATATATATAATACATATATAAGAACAGCAGTCTACAGCATTATGTAGAAATTTTACTCTTTATGTATACATAAGGAGTAACTGACAGCAAATTAATTACTTGACAATTCCAGTCTGGTTAGTATTTATCTCTATAAGTCAAGTTATTCCATCCATTAAAAATAATACCTTTCATATATTCAAAATAGTATAAAGCATTTGCTTTGTTTCATTCTATAAAACAGTAGTGGTTACGCTTCTACGGCAAATCTACAGTTGCAATTACTTTTTTAAAGAAAATCTTATATGTTCTGAGTGTTTTAGATTAGTGAATGGAAAATTATATTTTAAATATTATTTTAACATCTAAAATTTTTCGCCTTTTGTTGTTTTGGGTTCTTTTCCGCTTGTTTTAAAAGTACAGTTTGTGTGGTTTGTCATTCCTTCTCCTTTTCATAACTTGTATTCTACACAGAATCTCTACGGCAATGGTTTTCAAGCTATACCCCAGGAGACACAGAGGTCCATGGACTACTTCTACACATTACACAGAAGTTAAAACAAGAAAAGCAATTGTATCACCACATTCATTTCCCTGTATATGGGTCACTGTGACCACTGAAAAATGTTTTGTGTCCATATAAAGGAAATGACTGGGGGTGTGGTGAGATGGAAATCACTGATGTAATGCTATATTGTCCTAGCAAATTACTTGAGTTTTGGGATATACAGTGTGCATGAAATCTGTCAGTAAGATTTGGCCAATACAATAAAGGAAAGAGAACTTGAAAACACCACACTAACAAATAACCCTTAAAACTGCTTTTTAGATAAAATAAATAAAAAATAAAAAATTTTAAAAGCCACATCAACATTATATATGTTTTCTAAAAAGGCTGAAGGCAAGATATCGTTAATTTTAAAAAAACTTAACAATTACAGTTGATAAATATCTGATATAGCAGTTGCCCCCACATGAAACATGTCTAGGAAGCTCCATACCTAGTTCACACATTCTCTAGGCTTGGGTCTGGATAGTTCCATTATCACTAAACCACTTCATGCACAAGCAATAAAATAAAATTTTGCAGAGATGGACATGGCAAGCTGGAACCCTATATACTTCTGCAAATTTGCAGTTGATCAAACTGTTTTATAGTAATCCATTTTTTTTTGACCGATCACATGTAAGTATCATCACTGACCTCTGTCCAGATGCAGTTGCTATAGGAGAGGGTCCATTAGGGGCACGTGGCTCTTCACATGTGCTCATTTCCATTACAACTTTATCCAAGGACTTGAAAAACAAAACAAAACAAAACAAATTGGACATCTAAGAGGTAACAAAGTAAATAGACAACATATGAAGAATAGAAATTGAAACGAAAAAAAAAAACTTGAGAATTTTTTCTGAAATATACATAAAACATTTCTTACCATGTTGTTTTTTCCATAAACTTTTGTAATGTACCAGAATTATCTTTTTAAACTTTTTTCATGTTTTTTAATTTTGTGAGTTCTAGCAGACATCCCCAGACAAATAGTGTATCACAAAATTCTTGATCCCTGAGTATTATTTATCCATCACACTCATTTTCAAAAATTTGCATTTCAAAATGGACTTTAATGTAGTCATCTGAGTTTTCTTTCTATATGGCTGTGTTTATAGTGAGATACTTATACTTCCTGAGTTTCCTGAATGGTTCAGTAAGTTCAGAGAATTTTAATGGAAAATATTTGAAACTAGTCCACTGAAATTCATGATAGTCCACAAAGTTTTGTGCTGCATCTCTGAAATAAAACCTGAATAGAATACACACTCACGTATATATATATATATGAATCTTCAGTACATCTAGTAAAACAAGTAATTTCTAAACAGATATATTGTAGTATAATTTGCAACACATTATATTGTAGTAAAATTGTATTATATTTTTGCATTCTTTGTACTTGAAGAGTAGCTGTTACAAATGGAGCTGACAATTAAGGGAATGAGACATCTAAATCCTGCTTCAACTAAAGGCCCTATTTAAGTAGTAGAACCATAACGTGCATATTAACAGAGGTTGAACAGAATGGGAACAAACCAAATGCAAAACCATATTCCTAGCAATTGAATTAATACAAGAATCTCCAAACTTATATTGCAATATTTGTGACCTAAATTTATCATTACAACCTGGGAAGGCTCTTAGGTTAAAGCTTATAGTCCTGAAATTTTGTCCCATTGGATGCCCATTCAAAACACAGCAGTTAAGATTATGTCCCTGTCTAATTCTACTTTCTACTACCCCTTCTGAATTCTTGCATTTATGCTCTTAGGTCAGACAAAACATAATAAAAACCTTTGTCCTCAGTTTTAGATTTTTCATAATTCAATCTGCCCTAGCTACTAGACTTTATTATTATATTGGGTTAATTGTGCCTGTCTTCATAAACTGCTTGCTTCACAAACATTTTCCTGTACTATTCTTATCCATGAAAACCTAACTACAATTAAAAATCCTAAACTGTCTGATCTGGATTTATTTATACTTCACTATATTTTGATGGTTAAAGGGAAGCATTAGCTGTTAACAGTAAATGTGGACATTTTAAAATTATTTTCTCAGCTGTCTCAATGATTATCTTGCCTCACAAAACAATAACAGAGGAAAAAACAAGAAAAACCTAATCCCATAGTTTGAGGATGGGGGGGAAACCAAGATTTCTCCTGTTATCCTAACATTGTTGGGTGTTTGACCATTCTTTTTAAGGTTTTAAGAATTTTCTTCACTACATGACTAGTGTAAAGAGCAGTAGGAAGGACAGTGATTCAAGGAGTTCGCATACAATAAATAAGAGGTAACGAAGATGCAGATATATGTCTTTTCTCACTGGTAACTACTGTACTTTGATAGAGCAAAAACTTCTGCATAGCATCCTCAGAGCCCAGATCACTCCTCAAAAGTATCTTGTTCATCATATAAAACCAGAAATTGATTATTACAAAGATAACAGTATGTGCCACTATGTTAACAGACAGATTCTCACAAAGGGCAACTCAGCTGAATGAAAGGACCTTTGGCTAAACACGTGGGTTCTAGTCACCTCCTAAGCTATGCAAACAGAGGATGCTATTCCAACTTAATTAAACTCCCAGTAGCAAAAATATGCCCCCATGGCCCCACAAATTAGTGGATGTTCAGTGATGTAATGAAGGGCTGAAGTTTGACACTTAGGCCACTGAATTCACTTTCCTTTAGAAATCAAAAGAGGTGTTGTATATTCTACCACTGAAGAATGAAATGAACTTTTGTTACCAAATTAATGAACTTGTTCAAGGAAACCTTTATGTAAAAAAGGTTACCTTGAAAATTATGTTAGCCTCCAAGATTTCTAATTTAAATTCAACAGGAACAAAGGAAACGATGCCTTGCTACCACAGATCAAAGTGTGTAATCTTTAAGAATAGCACAGCTTAAACCGATTTCCTAATTTGGCAGTTGCATCATAGAGCCAAGAGGTTGAATCATCCCACCCTGGCATTACCAGATTAAGTTCTGGGTGTCAAGAAGAAGCAGTACAGACACTAGTACATTACAACTGGGTCACCAGCAAATGCCGCAAATATTTAAAGCAACATGTCTTTTCTAAATCTGATTCAGAACTAAGGAATTACAAGCACATTCAGAAATCCACTGCAAGACTGGGAAGCATGACAGTTAGGGGAATATTCACTCTTAAGCAAATACAGCTAAGGAAGTTTAGTCATCATCAAGTAAAGTACTTCAAATGCTACAAAATTGTAGCATTACTGTGCTACAATTTTTAAGTGTACTTAAAAATAAAGAACAAAATTAAACAAATGCAATAATTACCATTACTTATAATTGTTGTTGAGTTCTATTTACACATTTTCATCCTATTTATATCCAGGCTGAATCCTAAGGTGTTACAGAAGCCCTGTAAATGCTATCTGTATCAAACCTGCTGAGGTTGAGAACATCAGGTAGAGATGTAGAATAGAGAAGTCCTTAGAAAAGATAGCTCCAATAGATAGGCAGGAACTTTTAAAAGGGCTTAATTGGACAAATAACTACCCTTCAGGTGAACCCAAATTAATATGTAATGACTGAAAACTTGACAGAAGCAGCTAAGAGTCAAATATTATAGTGATGGCATCCAAGCCACAGATTAAGAAAACAAACATACCAAGAAAACATAAAGGCATTTTGTCTTGATCTGCTGCTACCCAGAGGACATTAAGTAAAGGCCTACTGATGTTTTAATTATTTCTAGCATCAAGTCAAGAGAACTATATAAATATTTAAGATTCTGCTACACACGATATATTTAGGAGTTATTTCAGAACTCACCAAAGAGATGGGATGTGTTTTCAATTTTGTCCATGGTATCTGCAAGAGAAAACAGTATTCTAAAGCAAAGTAAATATTTAAAATACAGTAAAATTAAGCATTTGTTTAGAATGCATTTTATGTATAAAAATTATATTTCTAACTTTTGAACTTGGAATAATATTACTTTCAAAATATCAAGTTTATCTGAAAATACCATATAGTAACTCTACACATTTGCTAGGTCTTAAAAAACCCAGAACTTCCAAATCTACTTATCACTGATCAGAAAAACAGAGGAACAAAACAGAATCTGTCTCTTTAATACTGGTTGTCAAGTATCATAAAAAGCAGCACTTTGTTACTCATTCTGTTCTTTCAAAGGAAAGAAATTCCACATTCCCTTTATTGACCTTCAGCTGATTGGGTGCCTGCAACAAGGTACCAAGTTCACTACCTTGAGAGAAATCAGGACAATGTCCCACCAGGGGTAAACAAAAAAACCCCACAATAACAACAAAACAAACCCAACTAAAACAAAACACACAAAAAAACCCCCACACTACAAAAAAGCCACAAACAAACTTCTCCAAAAGACTGAGGAGGTGCCAATGTTTGACCACACTGTAACTTCTGTCAAGAACAAGCCACCGCTTAGTTTCTTACTCCCACATCAGTGTAATGTGGGAGGGATGATATACATTGTTTCAATTATTAGCAGCCACACCGACCAAAAAGCAACGTCTACTAGCTTTAGAGTGTTTCCACATTTCCCAAAGACCAGAATCCCTCAGAAAGGTATTTTTGGAAATGAGAACACAACACAAGGGAAAGAAAGCAATAAACGGAGAGGAGCAAAGAAAGAACACAGAAAAAAGAGAGCAGTAAATATGATACATTAATTACCAAGGACAAATACAAGCTTTTACCTCTACCTGGTTTTCAGAACATGCAAGAATAAATTCTACTCAGAAAGAAAAAATAATAATTAAAAAAATGCTGCTTATTTTCATCATTTCCATATGTATTTCATGTCATCACGTGAGAAACAAAAAGTAGTACCAAATTATTGCTGGTAACATCTTTGTCTTTAAAATTTTATCAAGCACTTCTCACAATTTTCTATTAATACAAAGTTGCTTGAAAGTTTACAGAGGCAGAAGGAAAAGAAACATTTGGTGAAATACCATTCCAGCAAAATAAAATACTCACCCTAATGGATGCTTTATTGCAAAACACCTTGTTTATAGCCAGCCATGTTGGAAGATCCAGCATATTCTGAAGTACCTCTTGATCCAGCTCTAAATTGGTCAGCTGACCTTCCCCCTTTAATGTGCTCAAGTTGATCTTGTCAGGGGACAGATTTTTGGTGAACCTAAAAACAAACACACACCTTAAGTAAACACATATAAAGCAATCAAAGCTGTCCTATCTGTCAGTGACAACTTAAAGCAGTGGTCTGGGGTTGAGGAAATCATCTTAGATGCAAGTGTTCATATATACAATTTCATCCTAAAAAGAAAATGGTATGATGGAAATGATTTGTTCCTCTAAATTTTTTCATCTCATTACCTCAATTTACAAATACATAAGCAAAAATATATTACGAGATATCTTCTAATTTTTGCATCATCCACAATAACAAATCCTTGATTCAAATTATTGAACTACTTATTTTAAGCTATATAAGGTAAAATTGCATCTATTTCAGTCTTCTTTCATTTTTCAAAAGGAGAAAAAAATCCAAAACCTCTGCAACTCACTGTCATAAACAGTACCTTTCTACATACATTTAGTTAAAATCTTGAAATGAAAAGTTTTATTTACAATATTAAGTTTACTCATAGATTTTAATGACATAAATTAGAAGTACACATACACATACATAGCAGCATGAGGTATATAAAATATTGGGTGAAAACCTGAAAGTTCAATGATATCCATGGGCTGAAAAATGTAACTATTTAAAGGAGTACATATGCAAAAAAATTTCATTATACCTCAAAGGCAGTATGATTTGCTGATACAATAGAACAATCTATGTGACTGTTTCAAATGGTTCACATCTTTGTGAGACCATGTGACAGAATCCATGGGTACTCTACCCTAAAACCAACAGCTGCAGCATTTTATCTACCACAGGGTAAGAACAGGATATACCTAACCACACTTTTAATCTGCCATGAAAAATTGTTTCTGCTCACGAATTGAGTCTAATTTTACAAGATCAGGTAACAGAAAATACTATGATTGGCATTATGCTTTGTGACTTTTCCCACCAAAATCTTCTGGTGCTGCCATTCTGCAGTCAGAGACATTAGAATGTCCCATTAGTAACCACAAAATATAAAGCTTCCTATCTCAGAAATCATTGAGAAGTCTCATATGACTCAGCTCATTCAAATTTCTAGAAGAAAAAAGTAGCCATTGTGTGTTCACAGTTGCATGATAGTATCTCTCATTCTTGACTTTCTAGATGAGAGTCAACATAAGAATTACAAATTGGTGTTATTTTATAGTCACATTTATAGAGCAAATGCCAAAACATTCTGCCATTACATACACACATATACATACAAGTCTGCTAAGACTCATGTTCTGTGAAAGAAGTCCCCCTCAGAGTTCCCTGCTGCTCTGCCATATCAGAAATGCCACTCAACATGGAGAGAGATCTAAGCGTTACCTTGGTCCCAACTGCAGACACAGCACAGTGAAACACAGAGGATCTACAGGAACAGGTTTTCAAACTTCACAGCAAGAAAGACATCAAAATACCATTAAGGAAGAAAGTGCAAAGCCAGTTCTGAGCTACTTCCAATATCCTTCAATCAGACAAAATATGAGCCAGTCTCTCCCAACAGGGAACAGAAGAACAGGGAAAGAAATTTCAAAAAGGACCAACGCTTTTCTATATATATTTTTTAAAAAATTCTTCCAAGAGGGTTGCTTTGAATTTATTTTGTCTCCTGCAGTCAGCAAAAGTAAAAATGCTCAAAGTGCTGCTTCATTCAGAACAGACGGACATAAGAGGATCTCCACCTATGAAGACTGTACCCTTCATGTCAAGAGTCGCAGAAACAAACTCTCGACAGGTGAGCTGTGAGAAGCCATTTCAGGCACAGGCACCTCTAGTAGGTCTCTTCATTCCACTTCCACAGCTGGAATGCTACTGATGAGCGGATGCTGAGGAGACTGTGGTGTTTCCCCAAAACCCATAGTAACTTCATAATACATGACAACCACATCTGCTTTATCCATCTGCTTTGTCCAGAGCCAATTTTCCACTGAGGATGCCAACACTTTACTCATCTGTGCCAATTCTCTGCTCCTTCTAAATTCATCTGTTCCACAGAATATACTCTTGTTTGTCTGTTGGATAATTTCAGCTCTTTAGAATTGTTTCATACTGCTTGATATAGTAGGAAAACCTTTTACTTTTATACAGTGGCCTTTGACAGAAAAAAAACCCAAACAAAACAGAAGTTGGTCTGTTGCAAACACAAGGCAACCATACCTGTTAGACTTTGTAAGAATTCTGATCTTTGTGCACAAAATTGAAAGCACAGCCAGATGACAAGTACAACAGTGTTTTGAATTAAAAATTTAAAAAGTCCTTAGGGCAACCACTAGTCTTCAAATGGTATTGCTCCAGGATCCCATGGTACACCAGATCAGGACATGCCCCACTGAGCCAATGTGCTTTGACTTTTTCTTCTGGTGTGCTTCACATTCAGCTAACAGACTCAGGGAGATGTACCACAGACACACTGCTGGGTGTCAACTGCAAGTTCCAATGAACTTGCCATGAGCTGGAATAATCATCACTGTTACCCATTGAAATTGTTACTCAGATAAAATCTGCAATTTAATATTTTAATACTATTAACTCCTAATTTTTTTATTAAATTAAATTTTAATATTATTCTAAATATTATGGTGTTGGAGACTTTTTCTAATATTTATTACTAAGCAAAATCTAAGGAGGAGGCTTTGGAGGTTGGCAAGCTATCTCTGTATCTAAAGAACTACTGTAACCTACAATGCTTAACTGCTTAAACTTAGAGAACTTATTAGGCTATCATATTTACCATACAATTTTTATGTAAAGCAGAGAGGTGATTCCCACAAAGTTAGTGTAGAATCATGTAATTCTGAATATGAAGTAATTAGAAATCTTTGGTTGTGTCATGATGTTTCACAATTAGAAGTCCTTGATTGGGCAAAACCATTTAAAAAATTTTTACAAGCTTTTCATGTAACTACTCAGAACTAAAAATGTCACCAACTTCATGACATGCACACACTCTTCTCTCTGACCAGGCACAACCAAACAGCTTCCACACAGCTTGCCATTTGTTTTTTACCCTAGTGTTCATTCCTTAGAATGAGTTAATTACTCCTCAAAAACTGGGTCAAGCTGGGAGCAGAGGCCTTGACAACACAGCCATTTATTTCCCTGCACAACATCCCATGAACTTGTCACTGATGCTTCTTTTCTAGGGAACAGACTAAGTGTTAATATCCACTACTCAGTACAAAAAGTGAATAAAGTAGAACGGAGAAAAGTAAAAGGCAAGGGGAAGAGAAAAGGAAATAAAGGTCATGGTTGAGTTCACCAAAGCTTTCTGTCACTCTGTTTTGCTGTGTCAGTAAGCTGTTACTGAGGCAATACCCACTTGGTTTGCTAACACCACAAAATATCCTTAGCAAAACTGTTTTCATAAATAGAGTTTCAATTTCACAAACCACCCTTCCTTTCTCAAAACATATTTGAGGTTTGAATTACTGTGGGATAGCATGAACTTCAAATACCGTTTTCATACTGCATTCTGTAAGTAGAATAGTGCTGCAGATATTTTACTCTAAATGCAACAACCCAGAAATAGGAAGTTACAAATATAACCAGCAGCCTGACATAGCTCCCTTGAGTACATACACACACATGCACTAATTATTGCTATGCAGTTATAGATAGATGGTTCAACTTCAATTTACAAAGTACAGACTAAGAGTTTAGTGAAAAGTGTAAAAGACTGCACAGTAAGAGCAGAGTATTAAGAATCATAGAGCAAAACGTTACAATCATTATATTTTGTCAAGACCACAACAGTTCTTTTAATTCTTTTCCTTCTAAAATAACTAAAAATCTACATAGTGGATTCATTTTTTTGCCTGAAGTATTTATTTTCTAAAGACTTGTTTGTGACACTACAGGCTTAGAGCTCTGAACAGAGCACTCCACCATGCCTGCAGAGAAGACAGCCAAGAAGTGAAAACAGAAACAAAAATCAATGAAGAATGAGTAGAGAAGACAGGGGGAAACAATTCCCTGAAGTCACAAGCTTATGGGTTGTATAATGGCAGCCACAGACCACATGAAGCTTACAGCAGCGCTCCATAAAGGTATGGAGTGAATACCAGATGCCTTGTCAAGTTTAACAACAGAAACTCCAACCTCTGGATTTAATAGAAAAATAAGACAAGTTTGGATCACATTTGGACACAGGAATCTCAGCTATTTTGCAAATCTCCCGAACATGCAATTGCTTACCCCAGCTCTACCATGTGCCTCCCCTGCTTTTTAAATAAAATTCCCTCAACTATATGATCCTACATGTGTGCTCTAATCATGACAGACTATTAAATCATAATATGCCACATGTTTTGCTCATCTCCTTGTTACAAATCAAACTGCTTAAAAAATGTATGATTGAAAACAACAGGCTCTGAAAAAGGGAAACATGACCTACCAAGCACTGGCAACTGTATCAATAACAAAACAACAGAAATGGAACACACAAAGAAAACTGGCTTCATTTATTTTACTGTCTCACCTGGATGAATCATGCTATTAGATCACTAAGGAACAGTATATGATTTCTGAAGCAAGAAAAATGGTCTTTTTCAACCTAGTTTCTCAGGAAGATATTTGCTTCCCATGACTCCAGGTAACAGAGAGAAGGAGGCCTACGATCACTCTGCTCGCTGCACCACTTCAAATTTTAAGATTTCAAGTTTAAGTAGAAGAGGAACAAAACTAAGTCTTTGTCAAATTTGCCACAGAAACAAAGCATTGGGACCAACAGTGTGTACTGTTATAAGCAAGTTCCTCTCATCCAGTGTAACACCACAAACCAAAGCTGATTTTCAATAAATCTAAATCCCTCCCACCTTTAAGTAAGAAAAAGAAAAGTTACAGCAAATAGCATGCTGCAGGCAACATAACAATCTCCTCTCTCATAGTTTCTCTCCTGCAGCCAAAAGAAATATCAGTGTCTCAGGGAAAAAAATACCACCTGCACATTGTGAGTTCAGGAGTATTGCTATACTTTTTCCCATGGTAGCACTTCATCATTCAAGTCCCAAGTACCAAGATCCTTAGACCTATTTAGAAGGCAGCAAGTTTTATATGAGAAAAAGACAGACTCCCCAGATTAAAATACAACTCTATGTACCAGTAACATTACATACAATGACATTCAGAAGAGTTCTTGGTAGCATCCCTTCTTGATCCAAGTATGACAGGACAGAAAGGGCGAGATCCACTACAGTCATGCAGGATTAAAGATTTGGCTGCCACTAAATAAATGGCAGACTAGCTAGACAGTCTTTACAGATGCAACATATGCTTGACCTGTATTTAAAACGTAAGGCACTAATGAAAATTTTTCAAGGACATGATAGACCAGGGGAAAAAAAACCCGCAAATTTAAAAAACCAAACTTCTGTAAAAGATGTCTATTTTAATTCTTAAGACAGAAGAAATAAGATTAGAATCAGGCAACTGATATTTTCTCTTGGTATTTCAAAAAACTTCAACCAAAAAGCATCATAAAAGATGCTATAAAAAATAACAAAACAGTAAAGGCTTAACGTTAGTATGTGTCCGAAGACTGCAAGAGCAACATTATCTCACACCTCATAGTCCAAAGGATATGCAGAAAGCCAAAGGCTCTGAATATATTTAGTAATGCCCTAGAAAAAGCTGGTGAAGTACCAGAAACCTTTGAGTGAATCCTGGCTGTCCTAGGGATGTTCTAATTTTTATGAAGTGCATTAAAGTAGTATTTCCCCCAGCAAAAAACCATTAGCTGTGCTGTATATAAGTTTTGGAATAAAAAACTTTTAGCTCCACAGGCTGAGTTAAAATGTGTAAAAGTTGACAGGTAGCATAAAAGTTACATTCATCAAGTCCCCAGAAAACTGTCCTTCTGAGGAACACAGAGAGCAGCAAATGGCTTTGCAGCAACAGTTGACTCATCGCTGATGCAAGATACTGAACATCTGAAGATATAATTCATGGAAACTACTGGGTTGCAAGTGAAAGGTACATTTTTAGGCAATAAAGCTGGAAGACAAGAGACAATTGATGAAAAACTGCCTGAGATACATAAAGTATCTGAGTACTTCTATGTATAAAAAACTGAATGGTAAGTAGTACTAAATATCACCACAAAATATGATGGCACATCCTCATCTTGGACACTATTTCTGTTTCTTAAAATATTAATATTTAGAAATAAAAATTACAATTTTTACTATAAAAATTAGCAATTGATGGGGTTTTTTTAGCACAAAGAGTTAATTGGATGCTCATTTACTTTAATATAAGAACACATGAAACTAATGAGAACACTTTGAACGCAAGCAAAAAGAAACTAATTGCAGAACATTGTAATGCCCATGAAAACATCAGGACAGAATACAGTACCAAAATCAAAAGCTCAAAAGAATTTTAAAAAAAATCAAAACTTAAGGCACTTGTGGTAGGGTTTGTGGGGAGAGGCATCACCTTTTATGTTTACAATATAGTAGGATTAATTAGACACACTCTGACACATAAACGCTTAAGTTCTTTATTTACATTAAGTTGAAAATAAACACTTGTGAGGATAAATTTTATTATTTTTGGACAAAAAGTCCTCCCACAAACAGTGGCACTCTCACTTTCTGCACCAGGAAGAGAGCACTGCCACAGCAGCACTGTAAAATCTCACCACAGTGTGAGCCAGTGAGTGAGCAGTACGCAAGGCAAGAGTGGTGTGAGAGGCCATCCTCCAGTCCGTATCCAGAAGTCGTGTGTATCAGCCATGTTGTGTCCTGCATGGATTCCCAAACACCATGCCATTTTCTCCCAAGAAGCCCCTGTCAGAAGATGAACTGCAAGGACTACCCTTCCCTCATTCTGCAAGCTATAGGGAGTCGCAGGGGACTCCTAAGTGACAATACCAACTGCGGAAACCGCACCTCCACCAGACCTTTCAGGTACACCCCTCACCATCTATGATACCCAACTGGCACCCTCTTATAACCTCCAACATCAGTTTGTACAAGAGAAGGGTATCACCCCTTTACCCAAATGCACACAAATGCATGTATGCTCTGTTTAATCACACCTTGAACTTCTGCAGCACTGTCAGGTGTGTATTTGGTGGCTGAGGGCAAGATGGAGAACCCTCCTTGGCCTGTTGGATGCCCAGCATGGAGAGGATCTGCATCATTTGCTACAAAGCATCTTGTGAAGGTGCTCACAGCCCAACCCTCTGTAGCAGGACAGGGCATTCCCCTGTTCACACACCCAGCCTGGACCTACTACTCTCATCTGGCCACGAGTTATTGCACAACAAACAAGTACAAAACACTACCTACATCCCTACAGATTCAGGTGGGACTTTTAAGGCTACTATACAGGACCTAAACCATCTAACACTCATCAGGCTTTTTGAGTTATCATCGTCTAAAGATAGATCTTCCTTTCCAGGAAAATTACTTATTAGGACCCTGGCTCAACAACCAACCCATACTTGTGTAACACCTCTGGTGCAGTTTCACACACACCCCTCCTTATCTCTCCCATCCTAGGAGGTGGAGCACTGCATAGTACATCTGTTTGCTGACACTTTCCAAGTAATTGCTTCCATTTCATCACAACACAGAAGGACTTCAGCATGGGCTTCTACTCCAGGTGACTTCCTAAAGGCATCTTTATACACTCCTACTTTCTCAAATACTGACATCCCTACCAAGTCTCTTGACAGTATATAAAGCTTCCCCTAGTTAATCTTGTAATAACACATATAGGAAATTATTTTCTTCCTATTTGGAAAAACTGTATTGCTTGCCTTTTGGGTACAGGCAGAACTGAGACAGCTGCTGTCATCAATGATTATTATCTAATTATGTGTCATGCAGCAGATCTGCACAGACGCGGCCAAGCCCTGTGCATAAATGAAGAGCTTGCACTGCATGAATGATAATCATCTTGCAAGCAAAATATTGCTCAAGCAATTTATCTTTCATTTATGATATATCCTCACACAGACTAGTATGAGCTTTTGTATTCCATGAGTCTTTTCACATCCAGCGTAGAAATGGTCAATATGACCAAACCCAAAGAACTTTTTTCAAATGTGTCAATCCTACACGTGTCAGGCCTTAATGATATGCTGAGGACAAGAAAACATAAAATCCTTAATATATTAAACCGCATGTGGCAACGTATATGCAACTTGCACACTGCAGGCAGGAAAAAAAACACATTTTGAGAATTTGCTAATACTTGAAAACTATTAAATTCCACTTAAAATACAACATTCTGTACCTAATGCAAAGAAAAGCCATTTGATAAAAAATAATTTTAGAAATTTAAAATCAAGAAATAATGATACAGAGTAAAAGCATGACAACATCTGCCTTTTGGAAACTGCATCCTTTATTTATGTGACATTAGGAGGTATCTTTTTTAATGCTAACTGATCAGATCTCACACAAAAATAAGATCTTTTGATAAGACAATAGCTATAAGAACTATTTTAATTTTAAAAAATGAAATAAAATCAGCTGTTTTCTTTTGTAAACTAGGTAAAAAGCTGACCGATCCTTCAAATATATCATTACAGAGGTAATAAACATTGAGTTATGAAAAGGAATTAAGTAGATACAAATGATAAACAGCAAATGTCAAATAGCCTAAAGATACTGAGAAACACCTAGATTACACATTAGAAAATACACATTAAGATATTTTTATAATGGGATGGCTGATTTACTTCATAAATCAGTTTTGCAAATTTAGTTTAGGACTTATAAAAACCCCAAAGAAATCAGAATACATAGCTGCATGGCAAACAATTACTTTTTGCAGAAGTGTAAGTTACAAAAAGAAGAGAAAATCCAAGTAATATTTTACAGAGCTCATTTCACTCCCAAATTTATATAAATGCATACCACCTCTTACATTTACTCTACAAAGGTGGGAGAGGGGAAGTTACCTGAGGGCAAGGTATTCAGACATAAGGCCCCTACTCCTGGTGAAAGTAAGTGGTCAGTTGCCATGGCTTCTGAGAAGCTTCTGGTACTCATTTTGGTAGTAAGGATATTCACAGCAAACCAATCTCCACCAGAGCCAGCTGGGATCGCTGCAGGGAATGGGACACAGGGAACACACAAGGGATCAAGTTCAAAGGGAAAAAGGAGTGATACAATAATGTAAGAGAGTTTTAGCTGAAGATAACTACAGTTACAACACTTTGTTACACATCATGATATTACAGAACTCAAAAGGAAACAGACCTATGTAAAATACTAAATTCCCATAAGAATATCCCTTGCTGTTTGATACTGCAATACTGCAGCCCCATTGAATGAATAGCTTATGGAGAAAATTGTAACTATGTAGAAAAGAGCTATATAATATAACCAAGTGGTTTCAGAGATATATTTTCAGTAAGTATATTTGGAAGATGAGAAGGAAGATAGCCCAGAGATGCAGCATAAGAGGGTTTTATTTTATTTTTAAATGGGATGCAACTTTTCAGTTTTGTTTTGCCTATCCTAAGATTTCTCATCCCATATTATTTGTTCCTATTCACAGTGTCTCAACCTCAGCTATTCAAAATTCACACTAAGAAACCTCATCTTACAGGGACTTCTGGATTTGGTTTTGTATTTGGGGTGGCGCTACAAAAACCTGCACACATCTGACATTCTGATTTTGCAGGTTATGAAATTTTAGCAAATATGTTTCTCAAAAAAAAAAAGTTTTCTGTTAACTGTCTTCACTTTGAAGAGATGTCTCAGCCTAAATATAATTAATTCCAACACTTCTGGGTGCAATAAAATCCAAGCATTTGGACAGTGCCCTTGGTAGGCAGTTTGCTGGGATACTTGAACAGCATTTAAGAGATTTATCACTAAAGTGAATTACAGACACTTAGCTACAAATTATTATTTTTCTCAGGTTTCCAGATCTCCAGCAGTGGGAGAAACTACAACATGAAAACTGCCCTAGAAGTAAGCAACCACATAACTTTCACATTCCTGAGTAGCTGTATCCCAAGGTTGCTTCTTAACAGAAGCAGCAAACAACTCTGAGGAAAAAAAAGCTCCGGTAATCTCAAGCTATATGGTAAAGCTGCATGGCAGACCTGCCATGAAATCCATGCTGGGGACATGCTTCCTACAGCAAGGCTCATACATCCACCCAGGGGAGGCTGGAAGTACCAAAAGCCACAGCCTGAGCTGGAGCTCTTTCCTCTCCTGTTTTTTCTCATGAAAAAAAGGGACAATGAAAAGATCTGAATCCTGGTTAGCACCAGCTCCACAAAGGTATACAGAACTCCCACATAAGTTCCTGGACTGAGAAACCTGGGTTGCCTCGCAAGAAGCCAAACCTGAGATATGTTAAGCAGTTACTTGTTAGCAGTTATTCTCATGATTTGCAAAAAATCTGTGAAGTAAATCACTTTGTGTAGGCCTTTATAATTCCATTAATGTTTCACCAGAAATTATCTAATCTCCTCTATCCAACCTGCTTGTAGGAAAAAAAAAAAGCAAAAAATAAAACAAGACACTTTAACAAGCACATCTCACTCTGGAAGTTTAGTACATAATTTTATCTTCCTTTGATATTAAAAAAAAAACAAACCAAAAGACAAACACACCAAGGCTTTGGCAGGAGAAATAACACATTTCAAAAAAATGTAACTGTGGCCTTTGCTTTGATTCTTACATACTCAATAATCACTTGAACTTAAGAGACAATTTTATTCCTTCACAGGCTTATTCAAATATCTTTTTTTTCCCCTGAGAATGCTTCATACTACCATGTCAGCTACTTGAATACAGTGATCTTCAACATTATTTTTGATGTGAAACTTATTTCCCACTAAAACTATTCTGAGAATTGTTTAAAAAAATTATTACAGACATGTAAAATGCTGCTGATTGTGCAAATGCACTAATTTGTATTATGTGTACACAGGAGTTGTCCAACTTCAACAAAGCTTCAGCAGAACTTTAGTTGTACAATGTCTGTAGACTCAGCATCCAGATTTATAATACATTTGCAAAAATAATCTAAAACAAACTGAAAGGTAGAAGTCAAATTCTGTCAAATACTGAAAGCTTGAGATCTATCTGAGATGTAACAAAAGATTCAGTATCAACTCTTAATAAATGTAATGATTAAGAATTCTACCAGAAAATACATTATTGCCTGTTTATCTCCAAAATACCTTCATAATTTCATAAAGCACCATGGCAATTTCAGTTTAGATTATGGAAGATATTCTGTCACAGAAGTTCAAAACGCAATATGATGCATGAAGCTACCAACAAAAACAGAACAAAGTGAAAGTTTTCTATTTCTCTTGAAAAAAAACCAAAAAACATTTACTGATTCCTTTACGCTCATCAAAACATTACCAACACATTCACACAGACAAAACTGTTGGTATGAAATCTCCACTTAAATACTAATAGCATTGAATTTCAAACATATGGAAATTTAAGAGATACAGGATAATAATGAAACTTTAAATTGCTCTTCCTCCTCGTTCTCTTCTGCTGTCTCAAGCAGTTCTGCTTTGCCACCTGTTGTTTTTCAGGCTTGTTCTTTCATTAAGCGCAGCACTTGTTTAATGCTAACACTCTCCCTAAGCATTCAGACTCAATACAGATTCATTCAGGACAACATAGGTTGTTATGCCTACATTGTGTTCTGCAATTTTCCCACATGCTACACAAGCCAGTAAAGTCAGTCACGTAGAATACACTCTGTAAAATCACTACAAGCAAAGAGAGAAGCGGCAAAGTACACATTTTGTGTGCTTTGGCTGCTAAACGAAGTAGATAACTTCCACAAAACTAAAGTGACATAGAGGTAGAATACACAAAACTGAAAATAAGCAAAAAACCCTCTTATTTTGCTACTAGCAGAAGCTTCAAAGTTCATTCAAACAATTTTGGTAATTTACTCCCAGGAAGGAATTCTAGCCAAATACATTCTACATTCTAGCCAAATAAAGGTGTTACACCGGTATATTCTAAAAGGAGTCACCTCAGATCTCTTGAGATGGCAACATCCCTCACCAATCAGGCATGTCTTACTGGTATAAAAGCAGGGAAATATGCAGGGCAAATATTTAGGTAAGACATGTATCAGTGGAGCTGTACCAAATCGTGTAGGATATCACTGCTTATATCAGGATCAGATGATCCAGATATCCACATAATTAGTATGCTATTCTTTGTAAACCCAACATTCATATGAGCTTTACAATGATTTCCCGACTATGAAGTGAAAACAATTGTCACAAAATCATGCAATTTTTTTCTATTGAAATCTTAGTATGCTCACATCCTTTGCTTCAGGTGAGCAAAAGCAAAGGCCTAAGTTCACACGGAACATTAACTAATGACACAACTGAAAACAATTTCGGTTTCTGCCATACCAAAGAGTTTTAAAGGTCTTACTGTTTTCTTTGTGAAAATAGCAAATAAGACACAAAGAAAGAATGTAATTTTAAGTTGAACTATGTGCTATCATCGATAAACTTAAGAGTTAATATCTAATTGAGATGAAGAATGTCATATTCAGTGAGGCTATTTAACATAGAGGCAAAGTTTGTAAGCTGAACTCCATGGTTCTTAGACATATTTTGATAAACAAAACTGTTTTTCACAGAAAGGCATGGACAACATGGATAATGCAGATACACAGAAGAGTCAGACTGCTCATTAACTAGAGAGTAAATTTCAGTGATACTAAAAGTCAAAACCAAAAAACACTTGGAAATATCCTTATACAAGTCTGTACTAATAACATCTGATCTCTGTCTATATCCTGGATACACACAACTCAAGATTCAAAGCCCTAACATAGAGATAATCCCCTTATAACCACAGACAGTATAATAGTAACACCACAGTGAGCCTGTGTAGGGCAATCTAGATTCCTATTGGAAATCTTTAACACCATTGTTTCATACAGTTGTCCACAAAGTCTAACTGAGGAAAAAAGAAGGAATGCCGAAGGATATCTGCTATCAGCATAACAGATGATATCATCATAACAGAAAAACTTGCAAGAAAAGGTGCTGAAATCTCTCACCCATTGAAAATATGTAACAGCATACATGAAGATTCAACACAAGTTTCAGTTCACTGGGAACTCTTCACAGAGTAATGATCCCAACGCTACAGAGAAGACTTTTCTTAGGCACAGTGTGTCTTTCCTACCTTTGTAAAGGATGATGCCATTATCCAGACACGTGTTTCATTTTAGGGCACATATATTACGAAACAAAGACACTCCATCATCCGCATTCACCAAAACCTCACCTAACACAATATGGAGCTGACGAAAATTCAAGCCTCCTAATGACAAACTCATCTCTACAGTTTAGCAGCTACATTTAGTTTCATATTCCACAGCATGCACCATGTAATCCGAAGAGCAACAAAAAAACATGTATTTTATTCCTACCCCTTCCCTCCTTCTCATTTTCTACCACAGCCTCGGAAAAGAGCAGTGCATGTCAAAGATAGAGGACATTTTAAAAAATTTTAAAAGGTTGAGAAAGCAAAAAACTCATCACCAGATCCTGACATAAGTTTGTTACAAGTTGAGTAAAACAAGCTTTATTACCTTCACTGTTTTTAAGATGTAACATAGCAATAAGTAAAACCCTTTATAAAGATAAAAAGTAATTTAGATATCAAAACTGTTTCAAAATGCAGTTTGGGTTGTCTTCCTCTTCTTGTTCTCAGATCCTAAAGACTCATACCTATGCAAAATTTTTCCTGGCTAACAAATGTAGAATGATAAGGCTCCTTCACAACACCAGAGACCATTATCAGTTCATCTAAAAGCACTGTGAGCTGCTAAATGGAAACTGCACTACTAAATGACACAATGCTTTTAAATTTGCAAATACAGTATCTAGATATTTAAAAAAGCTGCAAATTGCTAACATGTGATTAACTGATATTGCAGCAATCTTCATGGCAAACATTGCAAAATCAATGATGATTTTGGGGGGAGCTGGACAAGACCTCTAGAGAGCCCTTCCAACCTCAACTGGTCTGTGATTCGTGGCATAAAATGAAAGTACTTCTCTGTAACTGAAGGAACAAG